TGTATTACACTTACTGAAATCTATGAAAAATGTCACCATTTTCTTAAATGAACAAAAGTTATCTTGAATGAACTAAAATCTAAATTAGCCAATTAGACATGAACACTCTATGTGCAAGAATTTAGCATGACCTTTCACATAAAAAAAGTAGTATGAACTTTTACCCAAATTATTTTCAAGATTTTGTTCTATTAAATAATCTTTCTTTGATGATTTAATTGGCTAATTTAGATTTTAGTTCATTCAAGATAACTTTTGTTCATTTAAGAAAATGGTGACATTTTTCATAGATTTCAGTAAGTGTAATACATACTTGTAATTAGAATGTTCAATGTATTGACAAAGAAAGATTATTAATAGAACAAAATCTTGAAAATAATTTGGGTAAAAGTTCATACTACTTTTTTATGTGAAAGGTCATGCTAAATTCTTGCACATAGAGTGTTCATGTCTAATTTCGAATCTGAGAATAAATAGTGAGAGTTCAGGTTTTAATTAAAATTGGGATTTATTTTTTATTTTAATGCTTTGAAATTGTCAGTATATAGTGTCAGTAGGTTATGTTATTATGTATTCTGAATTAGTCTCAAAAGCAGTGACACATGCATGCAATATATATGGAGTCTCAAATTTAGTTGACAGAGGCAGTGAAATAAATGTGTGTGGGGATTGTATCTTAATAACAGAAAATGTAAAATCATATCCTGTGCATGTCATATCAAGTTTAAATTCATGAAAGTAGGTCAAAGGTTATGAACCTGCTGTTTGTATTTATTGTTGAAAGCTCAAATTAATGCAATGAAATGGATGTCCTTTAAATATTGTTTTGATTCTGATTTAAGTTAGATAATCTTGAGAAAAGAAGTTTGAAGATATAAAGATTGAAAAGGACTTAGTCAGATATTCATGTTTAAATAAGAGATGAATCAGTGTAATGTGCACTTGGTATGCATATTAATAATAAAAGCTTGTCTTTGACATGTGTAGAGCCTGTATATATTACTTTATGTCCTTTGTTTTCTTTGGCCAGGTTCATCTGTCACAAAGGAACCAGAACCACTGATATGTTTGTGTTGTTTTTGTTTTATTTCCACTTTTTCATATCAATACAAAGAAACATACAAATAAATATAATGAATAACATGTAAGTTTGACAAAAAAAATTTCTGGTTAAAATAAAAGTTTCATTCAAAAGGAAAAAGCAGGAGACCACATGTCGTAAGCGTAAATGCTTGAACATGACCGTGGCCTCTGCCGAGTTAACAAAATAAAAGAACAACCCATGCAACTACATTGTATTCAATGTTAAATGAGATATAAGTGAAGTGATTAAAAGTGAGCATGGCTGAATTAATTTTGAGTGATAATAACAAAACAAATTTAGTGAAATATTTCGTGTTGAGAAGTGCATTTGTGCAAGGTGCAAAAATTAGCTTGGTGGAACAAAAAAGAGACTAATACCGTGATATTAATTGTGTGTTGGTTTCAGTTACGGGTGATAATATTAAATGTTTGTCAAGATATCATGCTCAGAGCAACACAGTGGCTTTGACCCACATCCAACCATCTCATGTCGGACCATCCTGATAAGATAATTCATACCCCTTGTGTGTGTCTATTGTGTATTCTTGACAGCTAGTGTGTGCATTTTTTGCTTATGTGTTTGTAAATACATGAGGGTGGATGGGTGTGTGTTTATAGAGAGAGAGAGAGAGAGAGAGAGAGAGAGAAAGAGAGAGAGAGAGAAAGATAGTGTTTGTATGTATAGCCTATGTGTGAAATTGGAATATTAGTGTGTGTATTGTAAGTGAACTCTTTGAGGAAAAAAAATCCGCAGTGTAAAACTATATAAACCAAGCACCAGAATAACCAGAAATGTTCACAAACAAACAGACCCCCCCCCCCTTCCCCCAATAAAAATCCCCTCGCACCACAGCTAGCTCACATACATTTTGTACACCTAAACATGTAAATGGCCAGCAAAACTGAAGTCCACGCGCATGCGTAATACATATACTAGGTACTGCAGCTCAGCCACAGTGCTGTGAACTCAGCTCGTGAATATTCATGACGCGTATACCTCTGAACCAATCAGGAGGCAGGATTTTACTCTCATAGGTAAACCTGTTTGGGAAAAAAAAATTCGCGGCCGGGAAGCGTTATTTTTTTCTGCGGCACAGATTGGGGTTAAGTGCGTGTTGAGCCTATGGGAAAGTTTAGGGTTAGGGTTAGGGTTAGGGTAGGGTTAGGGTTAAATCAAGACATCTTTTTTTAAAAAGCCCCAATCTGTGCCGCAGAAGAAAATAACGCGGCCGGGAAAGGAGGACTAAGAGAAGAGAGAAAATTGAAATAGGAAGGATAGAGAAATATAAAGGAAGATGTAGAAAGAAAAAAAGAAAAACAAGAGAGAGAGAGAGAGAGAGAGAGAGAGATTATTACACCCTCGGAGATTTAAAATCTGTAAATTATCTCATTTATTTTATCCATCAAGTTTTTTTCTTCTTCAGAATTGGAACCCCCCCCCCCCCCTCACTTATATCAAACGGCTCGGATAACTTGAATGTTTGTGAGCATAATTATTTGGCTATAACGATCATCACCATCCGACATCCATGCAGTTGAAATCGAACAGACTAAAAAGAAAGAAAAAACGAACCACGAAGGGCTCATTTGGGCTACGTATCACAATATTTTTATAATCTTTACAAAAAATACTCGGGTTTAGTCCCTTCGTCAGCCATCCACTTGCAACTTTCTCCACCTCCATCCAAATTCAAAATGAAATTTCCCCGACAAGGAAACAAACGTACATAGGGCCAGAGACGGCTTTTCTGCGGCACAGATTGGGGTTAGGTGCGTGTTGAGCCTATGGCAAAGTTTAGGGTTAGGGTTAGGGTTAGGGTAAGGGTTAAATCAAGACCTCTTTAAAAAAAAAAGCACCAATCTGTGCCGTAAATTTTTTTTTTCAAGCACCCGAAAAGTGCCACTTTTTACATAGGAAAGTGCCCCTATTTACAATGCAATAGTGCCCCTTTTACTTTGACAAGTGCCCCTATTAATTTGTAAAAGTGACCCTTTTATTTGGACACGTGCCCCTTTTCCTTCGACAAGTTCCCATTTTTCTTTTGCAATAAGTGCCCATTTTCCATTCTCATAAGTGCCATTTTTAATCTCTAGTAAGTGCCCCTAGTTAAGTACGACAAGTGCCCCTTCCCCTTTTAATACCAACCCCCATTTTAACTTGGATAAGCGCACTTTATATTTTCACACGTGCCCTTTTCCTTTCTATTAAGTGCCCCCTTTCCTAATGATAAGTGCCCCATTAAAAAAAAGAGTCCCTTCCCCTTCTCATAAGTGCCCCTTTTCTGGTAAATGACCCTTTTCATGTACGAGAAGTTACACCTTTTCACTTCAGATAAGTGCCCCCCTTCACCTTCGATAAATGCCCCTTTAAAATCTGATCGGTGCCCATTCAAATATTGAAATCATCCCTGATAATTGTAATCACAATGTAGGGGTATATACCAACGTTAAAAAAAATGGTATATTTTCGCTTTGAGATTTCCCTTTGTAGGTGCCCTTTTGTTTCTCCAGAAAGCGCCCTTTTTCTTGGTGCCCCCCCCCCCCCACTTTGGAAGTCGCTCGGCTGCCCCTGCATAGGGCCTTCTCCATCTAGAATATCAGGGAAAAAGTGAGGATGGGACAAAGTTGCTATATAATTATCACGGTCTATTTCGTTACTATATTTGCCTTCATATCAATCTAATCATGACATAATAATGAAAAGAAAACAAGTTTTTAATATAGGTCAAATTATATCTCACCTCGTAAAACCTAGAGTCCGTGCACTGTACATACATCCCCTGTCTGTTGGTTATATCAAGAAGTTACTAGTAACTTCTTGGTAACTGAGCCAAATGGCTCTCCGTTGAACAAATAAGGGCGTTTGTTTTGTTTCTTTTTGTTTTAGTGATTGTATTTTCTTCTTTTTTTGTCAAGGATGTTTAGAGTGAAAAAGCAACCCAAAGACAAATTGCAGTGATTATCCACCCTCCTCTTCTTCTGCCAGAGAATCAGTGCTTGCGCTATTAGCGCTGGCGCCACACACTGAAACGTCACCAGCGTAAACTACGTGTAGCGCGCGCAGGACGAACGCGTACGAGTGCAGTCATTTTCTCCATTAGCTCCATCTGTAATTGGGTTGCCAACGTGTTTTCGCGGGTACCGCGCCGGGCGCGCGTTTCCGTTTTACACCCTGCCCTAGGCTTTTCTCCAATAAAATTTTACAAACCGACTGGTATTCGGAGTCTAGTCGTCCACATCTTGCCTCGGCGCTCTGCACACCACCAGGGGAGTGTTTCACAAAGATCCTAAGTAGAACTTAACACTAAGTTGGACTTAAAAAGTATGGACAGCCATTGGAGCCTTAAAATGAAATATATTCAAAAGCAAAAATTGGAGTATTTTAGACTTTTCATCAATTCCACATCAAGAACATGAAATCTCCCATGATAATAGAAAATACAATGATTTGAATCAACATTTTATGCCTTCTAAAAAAAAAATTACAAAATGTTTTCAAGGATGCTAATGGCTTCCCATAAATTTTAAGTCAAACTTAGAGATAAGTTCAACTTAGGATCTTTGTGAAACACCCCAGAACTCTGAAAACGTCACGTAGCGCTAGCTAACTCTCTATACTAACTAGTTGATCTTCCTAGTCGTATCATTTATTTTTATCCATTAATACGCAATACTCTAAGAGCGTGAGGATGCGTGATCAGCTCGCAAAATTTAGCCCAGCGATAACAAAACAATAATATATCGGGAAAACCGTCTTGAACAAGAAGACCCTCGCATCCCCAATTGAAATTGTACATAAGCTTTGGCTTCGCAATTCTTGACGTCGATATAAACAAACTTAGACTTCGGATACAGCATGTTTCGTGTAATTTCTTGCCGAAAAGCCTAGGGCAGGGTGTAAAACGGAAACGCGCGTACCGGGCAGTTTAGGCAGAGCTTATGTATGCACGATATGTTTCAATTCAGCGGCCGCGCTGCATGCATATGAACTTGGAACTCACCGGTTCTTTTCGCGGTGGTCAATTCGCCAAAATCTTGTCGCTGAAACTCTGTTGATGTTTAGTTAAAAAGAACCAAGTTTAGAACGGCAAGTCAGCTGTTTTCAGTACTAGGCAATTTACACATTTTCATGGACTCCGTGGAGATAGTTTTATCGGCATAAGATCAGAGCTTGCAGGGTGATTACAACCGGAGATTTTATCTCGTTTTCGGGGAACGATTCATCACCCCATCGCGCACGATGAACTTCGAAATACCGGAAGGTCTTACTGACTTGTTGCAGGACTTCACCGTTGCTGTGCTTCGGGAAAAGCCTAGTGATTTGGTCGAGTTCGCTTCGTCTTACTTCGCCAAATTGCAAGAAAATAATATTAGTTTAGGTGGAAAACGTGGAGTGACTTTCACTGCACCAGAAGATGCTGAATCTGATATCGACGATGAACCACCAGGTAGATTAAAGCAACAACACATGATTGAGAATGAATTAACAGAAAGAATAACACTAACAGTCGAGTTGGACAGAAGTCAGAAATGTAAATGAATGAATGTCTGTTGTTATGATGGTTACTTCTGTCCAACTCTAGATCTAGATCTAGTCTATATCTGTTTTCTTGTACAGATGCAGGTCTAAAGTATTGTTTTATTTTTTATTTTTTTTATCTTATTGATTAGGTGGGGGGAACAGGAGGAGAAGTAGACCGTCACTGTCTGGACATGGACTGTAGTCGTGTAGACTACAGATTACATACAGACAGTGTTGTCTAGACAGACATGGGGCTTTTACTTTTTTTTAAATAAATAACTTGTTTAGTGCACAATTGCCATGTATGATGTAGTTTATACCAAGACCAAGACGTGTGTCCAGACAGATTGTGTATCCGGAAAGTGTATATTTAAAACAGTAATTTGAATAAGGGTCTAGACTATATCATTAGATCCTGTATTTATATGTAAGGCACATGACTGTTCAGATGGGTGCTTGTGTACTTCTGTATCCATTTTTGACCCATAACTCTGACGTGGAGGTACCCTACTAGAACATGTCCAAAAAATCAACTTAATCTTCATCAATCATTCTAATTATATGGTCATGATATAAAGTCATTATATTTCTTACCCTTTTTGTGTCAATTTTCATATCTGTTTCGGAGAATTTTTCCTAAAAAACAAAGACCTAGTATTACTTATTAGTAGAGTTTACAAAGGAGGGTTTTTTCGACCACTTAAGACAAAATCCTATTTTTGGGACTCTTTACTTCCTATTATCATTTCTTGTTTAAATCATGAAGCAAATATTATTATTTAAACAAAAAAAGAATCCCAGAAAAAAATCATGAATTGCCATGACAATATTCATTTTTATAAAATGGCTCTAGTATTTTAAGCATCGTGATTGGTCAATACGCATCACATGACATTGACAAATTTTTGATGCAAGCACGATTTTGCAGAAAAAAGCGCAAAAAAAGTTATAATACACGTGACTATGGAGATCCAGCACAGAGCGGCACGAATCTAAAGAAACCTCGCGCGTACTGCATTCACTGCTATTGCACTCTGGGCTGTGCGTTATTTGTATACAATTTTCACTGTTTCGGAGGCAGTTATCGGCATAGCAAGCCAGTTTCCGACCGCATTTACAAAGTCAATAGGAAGCGCGTGCACGTTTCCACGCTAATCTATAGCACTAGAGGGTGGAGCAGGTATCCCACGCCGGAGCTCCCCGGTGCTCGCCATGTCGAAAACTAGCTCTGCGTTGATCGGAAATTGGAATCTGAATTAGACAGAGATATCGTGTGTGCGTTGTAGGCTAGTGTGTTGCGATGTCCAGCTGCATTGATTTAATACGTGCGATGAGATACTTTTGAGCTTGCGACTCGCACGAAATCGGGCTCTAAATCTGAAAAATACATGAAATAAAGCTCATGTTATGGTACCCATATTTCTTACAGACACGCGTAAGATACTCAATTTTTCAGATTCGGGTAGCAGGACCGCCGATTACATTGCTAAAATGTGATATTTTAGGATATATTTTCCTTTGCAAATGTGGTTCTTCAGTGACTCTGGCATGGTATGGTATGTGTGGGATATGTGATATGCTATTATGCGATGTATTTTAAAGGGATTTTACCATGCATCCAACGGATCGGCTGAAAACTGGAGATGGTCGATTACCCCCTCCTTTACTCTAGATAGATCTATACACTTTCTCACAGGTTTCATGACAAACCGCTGCACAATTACAATACAATTTCATACCATATCGACAAAGGGGTGCGGGCGCACGCAAGCGTGCGTGAAGTTATGGACTGTAATTTTTAATTATTACGGACGCTAACGTCAGGCACGCTGTATTGTATTGTACTTGTGCAGCGGTTTGTTGTGAAACCTGTGAGAAAGTGTATATAATAATTTAGGAAAAATACTCCAAAAGAGATACGAAAAATGACAAGAAACAGGTAAGAAACATAACGACTTTCAAATCATGATCATTATTTGAACAATTGATGAAGGTTTAATTGATTTTTGGTATGTTTTAGTAGGCTCTCCACACCGGAGTTACGGGTAAAAAATGGATACTAAAGTACACTAGCGCCTTCAGATGTTGGGCAATGCCTGCAATAATATAAACTTTAATATAAAGGACAAATATTCATAATGGTTTGTGCTATTTGATGAATATTTTTCTTTAAATCCTATGGCTATGGGAGAAGAGAAGTCTTTATGTTTGTGTCTAGACACCCAACCATAATCTTCTGGCAAACACAATTTCACAGTACAAGGATGTTGTTCAGTTTGTGGATCTCATGAAAGCTGACATTTTGTTATGTAGACTCTTGATCTCTATGGCCAAGGGTTCTAATAAAGCTACGTACCCTGCAAATATCCACAATGTGTACAGACATGGGGCTAGGGTGCAATTAAAACTGAATGTTTTCGCCAAGTACATGTGTAACAATGGTACAGTATGCAGACCATGGAGAAAAAGCAACAATGAATTTGATGAAAATCATTTGGTTTTTACCTTTGAAAAGATTTGTCAAAATGTACCTAAAAAGTATTTTAAAAATTGACTTGTTTGTAATTACTTCAGTTTGAGTCATGAACAGGTATAGCATGTACTACATAATGTACATGTACAGGAAGATCCAGACTAGTAAGCTACAGGTAGATTTATACACTTACATTACATACGGTAGTGCTTTAATTTTTTAAAGGAGATAGGATAAGGATATCTCAACATGAAATTCAAGGCTTTATATTTTGGGTATAATATCACATTCATTATACATGTAAGTGCAATATGCTTGGTAAAGGAATCAATCGGTTGTACTAGTGTCACGTTTTGTGTTGGTAAATTCCCCTTTATTACATCACAAGACTCCAGAGCAACCTTCTTTCAAGTGAATAATCAATAGATTATATTGATCTTTGAAAACACCTGGCCTTTTGTAGCCTTCACAGTGTCCTTTGCAAAAGTGAATACGGCAGGTCATTGTTATAAAACCGAAGGGATTAACTTTCATGATTTTTATGCCTCCGTTACGAAGTAGCCGGAGGCATTATGTTTTCGGGTTGTCCGTCCGTCCGTCCGTACGTCCGTACGTCCGTACGTCCGTACGTCCGTCCGTCCGTACGTCCCGTTCTCGTGATCGCGTTATCTGAAGAACCGATTGATGGATTCCTGCCAAACTTTGGTCATGTATGTTACTTGCAGAGCCGATGAACTGATTAGATTTTGGGGTCACGAGGTCAAAGGTCAAAGGTCACATGGCTCATTATGTATGCAAAAACAGCTCGTGATCGCGTTATCTGAAGAACCGATTGATGGATTCCTGCACAACTTTGGTCTTGTATGTATCTTGCAGAGCCGATGAACTGATTAGATTTTGGGGTCACAAGGTCAAAGGTCACAGGTCACAGGGCTCATTAGGTATGCAAAAAGAGCTCGTGATCGCATTATCTCAAGAACCGATCGATGGATTCCTGCCAAACTTTGGTCATGTATGTATCTTGCAGAGCCGATGAACTGAATAGATTTTGGGGTCACGAGGTCAAAGGTCAAAGGTCACAGGGCTCATTATGTATGCAAAAATAGCTTGTGATCGCATTCTCATTAGAACAGATTGATGATTCCTGCCAAATTTCGATCATGTATGTATCTTGCAGGGCCAATGAACTGAGTAGATTCATGGGTCATGAGGTCATGAGGTCAAAGGTCATGGGCTCATTATGTATCCAAAAATAACTTGTGAACGCATTCTCATTAGAACTGACAGATGGATTACTATTTAACTCAGGACATCTTGCAGAGCCAATGAACTGAGTAGATTTTAGGGTCATCAGGTCAAAGATCAAAGGGTCATATATGTATATGAGAAATTGCTTGTAATCACGATATTCTGAGAACCTCTTAATGGATTACAATCGAACTTGAATTTGAAAAATTTCTTCTGTTTTGGTTTGTAAAATTGCTCTATGACGGAGGCATCATTTTCGACTGCGCGCAGTCGAAGTTCCATCTAGTTTTTTTATAAAGATTTTTTGTATGGGGGGGGGGGGGGGTCGTTGTTTTCTTTTTGCGTTATTGTTTTCTTTTTTAAATATTTTTGTTATATCATGGTCACTGTGAAGAATTTGACTTGAAATGCACACTTTGTCCATTTGTAGTTTGCAAGATTGGCCCACTTGCTGTACATTTACATTGTTCCTTTAAAAACTGCAAGTGTCTGTGTACATAAAATTGTTGTACCCGGTACATGCATTTAGCCTACAACAGAATATACATATCAATTTCAGTGATTAATTAATGACAACACCAAAACTAAATACATGTACATGTACACCGTAGACTTGCTGCAGACATGATCTAATGTAGCATCCATCTAGTCTGGAGATGGGATGGGTAAATTTTAAGTGGCACTATTGACTAAGGTGAACTGCATCTATTCTTATGTGCAGCAGGCACACAGTGACGAGGATGTTGCACATTTTTAGACCCAAACGCTACAGTATTAAAATGTACTACATGTAGGAGATGGTAATTGTGGCCCCTTTGTGTGATCTTTTAATTCTCTGTTAGGTTTTGTGATGGCTGTACGTTTGTATAAACCCTTTACTGGTAAGTTGTTCGATAGATCTACCAACCTGATGCCTGCATACATGTAGCAGGCAGTTTGGTGAAACATTTGCTGTAAGCTCCGAGTTTGTAAAAACATAAATCAAACAAACATTTTATAGCACACGGGTGTTTAGGTAAAAAATTATCCCCCAATATTATAGTTGAAACTTTAAAGTACCTAATGATTTTTCTATTGTACAAAAATATGACTTACTGACCTGAAAATGAAAAAGAAAACTCAAATCTTTGAAACAATGCTAAGCAGCGGAATTGCCAATGCAGCAATAGTGCCATAATTTGATTATCATGTGGTACGAGTGACTTTGCACAAATTAAAAAACACTTTTAGATGAAAATTGAAAATTCACTTTGATTAAAAGTTAAAATAACTGACTACCGTACTGCAAAGAGTAGGCCAACATACTTTAGTAAACTACTTTATTTGCAATTTAATACATAAAACAAGATAACGATCTTGTTCAGGTTTATATTTTTCTTCACCGAGTGGTGTAATATAACATGTACATGTACATTATTCAATCACATTTGGATACAAAGGGCATGAATTCCTCAATACATGTATATATCAAACAGGAATTTGGGGGTTTGTCTGCTTTGTGTACATGGACAACTGTACATTGTTCATGTTGGTGTATTCAGATTTCCAGGGTGTGTCTATAAGGATGCAGGTGTGTAGCTCAACTGTAAAACTAGAAACCTGTATGTAATGTGTGCCAAACTCCTGTGAAAGAGCTGTGAAAGTTTCATACCCCGAAATGATTAACAACAGCGCCAGCCTTAAACTTTTGAAATTTATGAAAGCCAGTCCTTGACTAAAAATGTCATCTCAGCTGTACATGTAATGTATGTGTAGTTTTTAATTATGTTGTTTTGTCTTCCATAAAAGCCTGGCCGGAGAATGAATGTCATTTACGGTTTATGTATTCCCAAAGCAATATTATCAATATCACATGCATTTTTAAAATTTGTTTTAATTTCATGGTTTAAAATCTACCAGTCACAAAAGTTGAAAAGGGTGTTCACTGTTGTTGAGGTAGTAGACCTATATGGTGTAAACCTGCACTGCAAAATGTTGTACTTTATATGCTTGTTCAAAACTATAAAGCTTTCTTAAATGTAGTTTACAAGTGCTTTCAGGAATATTAATTATTGTATTTCCTCTTATTTTGCAGAACTTCCCAAGAACAGATATGCCAGAAGGAAATCAGGTAAGGGCTTTTTCAGTGTTATGTTTCAATTAAAATGAATATTTTCTCATAAATGAATAAACTGAAATTTTCTGAGAAATGTTACTTGTATAAAGGTAGAAAATAGTATGGATTTTAGGGCTCTAACTTTCAGGCATTTCATTAGAAGATGCTTTGAGGCAGGTTGGAATTGAGCAGCACTATTGTCTTTTGTTACCGTATTGAAATCAAGGCCACACAGTAGAATTTTTCCCTATGGCTCTGAATTGTTAATTAGAGTTTTGTGAAGAATTCTCTACATCAAAATATGTTAAAGCTGGCCTCTCCGGGCAGTAGAAAATCACTGATTCATATGATATCTCACAACATACACATACATGTAGCATGAGTTTTATGCTGGATGGGTTTTTCATTGAAATAAGTGTGAATTTTGTTTAATGATGTCACTCTCTGATAACCACAGACACTATACAATTTGCTACAATAAGTACATGTACAGGTACAAAATGTATGTACCCTTACTGACAAAACCATTGAGGCACTGTGAAGGAGATTTTTTTCTTCATATTATTAGGAGTCAGTTATTTTCTGTCTAAGAGAGCTTTCTTTCAAATACATATACACTGCCATTTTTGCGGTCAAATCAATAATTTAAAAGAAGTTTCTCTGAGAGATTTTTTATTTCTAATTCATATTTTGAAAAATATAATTTTTTTCGAGCATCTCCCCAAAACAACAGTCAACCTGATATTTACCAAGATTCTGCTCTTTTGCTAATATTGGATTTCGAGGCAAATCTCCATGCCATGCGTTTGACAATCACCTTCAGCCATTTGGTTAACTTGCTTGTGTACAGGACGTTCTATGGAAGAAGGGTATTGTGGGTGTAATGAATTGGAGTGTTATTGGTACAATTAGAGTGACATCCTTTGACCGAGGTTGAATGAACTATCTGCGAGTCTATATTGCCCGGTGGTACTAAAGTCAACATCCCTTTCACCTCTCTGTCCATAGAGGAAAAGCGTTAATTCTGAATACAACCCCTTTCTGTCCCATCGTGATTAGATCTCTACCAGATCATGTTTACTTTCACTATTCAGCCCAGAGCAGGCAAAAGAAGTCCAACAATTAAGATGTTTGCATTGAGATCACTCCAAGTCTCTGGCTTATTTGTCTAATGAAATAATACAGCGCCAGAGTGCCACTTTATTGAGAAAACATGAGCGGTCAAAAATGACCTAGAAGGCGTTTGAGAAATTAAATGATGAAATTTAGAGGATGATTTTCTCAGGCCTACCGCTGTACAAACAAAATTTATTACAATGTTTTTTATTAAATGCTTTCTTACTTAATCTAGATCTTTATTCAATTAAGTAGGTTAAATGCAATTTGGAATATTATAAAAATAAATTCCTAGATGAATGATAAACTGACTAATTTGGTAAGAACGTACAAAGTACCAAGTTTGTACTTTCCATTTTGTACTTTTCAAAATCAATCAAAGTTGTGAAGACTGACAGCAAGCTATTCAAGAAAACAATTTGAATGAAATTATACCAAAATATTTGGTTGATCTTTTCCACGATGTCTGTGGGCTGCAGACTATGGAAGATTTACAGGAAAGCACAGAGGGAAAAGGGTCATATTTCCTAGTACACACTGTTAAAACAATACTTTTGTTTGATCTTTCAAATTGGTACTTCCTTCAAATATTTAAACCCTCTTAATTTTTAGTTGAAATATGTACCAGGCCTATTGTCACAAAAAGAAAGTGTCGTGTTCTTGCCTCTGCTATTCATACTGTCGTTAATGTACAACCCAAGACACTATCCTTCAAAATAAAAAAACTGTATTCAAGGCCTTTACGGTATGTAAAAACAAAACAACAAAATACTTTTATTACATTTTCTCTCCATGTGTTTAACACTGACCAATTCTTATAGATGTATAGAGTGTAATGAATATGTACAGTACATTATTAAGGCTGCATGCAATGTGATGAACATAGTCTTCATGTATTTGGACGTACAGATTGCCAAACATGCTCCGTAATGCATATCGCAGAGCCGAAACAATTTTACAGGGTTGGAGAAAAATGGCTTGGTGATTATTGATTATTGGAAGGAAATGCGTCAGTGACACAAGAACCCCTTCAAACTAAAGGCTCCTGGACTTCTCGAAAACGATAGTGAGGAGTAGTACTTGAGAGGGTTGTACTGTACACAATACAGGCTACAATACAGTCAGGTCATTCACAGTGCATTGCTATGGTTGTACATTTAGAAATATAATGTACATTGACATCTGTAGATTCTCATGGGAGTCCAATTACACCTGGATCCAAAAGGAAATATAACATTTAGTTACCTTTAGTTTATATAGAAACAAAAATTAATGGAAAAAGCAGATTGATTACAGTGGTACATGTATGTTATTTTTATTCTTATGCTGCTTTAACTAATTATTTGAGTTGTCAGGTTGAATGACATTACATGTGAAATTCTTTTGTGGAAGGTTACTGGACTAATGCATGTAAATAATGTTTGATATGGCATCAAAGTGGAATGAAGTTAGGCTCATATTTCAAACCTATATTCCCAAGATGTTAATTAGTGATCATTAAAGCTCTCCCATGCAACCAGTCATCCTTCACAAGGCTAGCCAGTGCATCCGAGAGTGAAGACACACAGCCAGAAGACGTTACAGTGTGGGGTCAGGCTTGACTTGAGCTCAATGGAGCAAGAACTATGCTTCATTTAGTTGTGAGAGGATTTGGGAAGCAAATCTGCTGCTCCATGAATGAGAGCACATTGTTGAAGATACTCTAATTGATCAGCGTACATGTACATGATAATAGGGAATTAGGGATTAATATTATAAATTTATAAAGCCCTGCCAATTTGCCATGGCTAGGAATAATAAAAAGAAAGAAAAAAAGATTTCATCTTCTTTCTGTATCTTTTACTTCAAGGATAATCAAGATTGAGTTGACTCAAGGGACATCCAGACACTGTCCTTTTAAATTTAATACGATAATGTACCGTAGAGTGTAGGTGTGCGAGTAATTAGTATCTGCAATGTTAAGTGCTTTACGGAGAGCTACGAGATGGTATAAAATCCATGTCATTTTAGAGTGCTGCATGATCGCTCAGTAATCACCAGGACATACTTGAATTACAAATTGGTATGATTTATTCATTGCTTCTGATTAAAGGATCAATGCTCAGAAGCAGAGATGGCAGTGAGGAATTGAATTTCATGTGATTGAGATTGGAAATTTATTGTGATTGCATCATTTATTGATGGTAGGAAATTCTGACTGAATGATGTTTGGAAAGCCTTGTTACATGTATGAATATTTTTTTCTTCAAATTCATTTTGACTTGTATATTCAAGCAATTTGTTTTGTTTTATACATGTACATGTACATGTACATGTACATGTACAAGTACATATATAATGCACATTTTCTTCTTGTGATTACATCCGAGCTTGGTATTCTACATACATAATACAGTATGTTTAGCTTAATTCTATGCACATTTTAATCTTTCAAACTTTGCAGCTTTGGAAAACAGCAAAAATAAAATCCATACATGTATGTAGTATGATTTCAAGACTTTCGCAGGGATCCACACTTTAAAAAAAAAATAAGGCACCCATGTGTCTCAGCCTCCCAGGTGCCTGTAAACTTTGAGGCCTGCTTAGTTTGTGTCATTGTGATTTTGTTTTTGTTGTATTGTTTTGTCAATGCATAATAATTCAATATTTATTTTATGTTGATTTGTGTTTCAGTTTGTGCAGAGAAGTACGATCCCGAGGCTGATAATGACACTGATACACAAAAGGTGAGGACAACAACATTCTGCAAGCTTTTTGAATGAATGTGGCATTTGAACACTGCAGAGATTTGTACATGTACATCACTGCAACAATAAATGCAAGTGTGTGAAATAAACAAAGGAATCATTGTTTACCAGAGATAGATACAAGTAAATTTCACACCGTCATCATATAAAAAGTGTGCCAGAACAATGAATGCAGCCATACAGAATAAAGGTAAAATAAATCATTAGCACAAAAGAAAAATATGTAATGGTAATGGCAATTTTTGTATTGCATGTACCGGTAAGTCAATTTGATGGTGTACATACAAGTTGTTGGCCATACCTGAAGAAGAATGAATATTAAACATGTGGATGTATGCTGAGGCTTACTGGGATACTTGATATGGGACACAAGGGAGGTTTATGAATAGCCATGAGTTAGACCACTGTGGTAAGTCTATTACCATGGTTACATGTCAATACTTAACCCCTCTGTGACGCTCGCGCCTAAGGTACAGTACCTTGCCAATGGACATGTAAATTCAGGCGAAAGCTAGACAACAAATGGTAATGGGATAGGTTTTTCATTGATTCATTGATATTTTTATGTATTTCACTGCCAAAGGATACAAGAAGGGGAAAAAAGAGCAGAGTATACAGAAATCAATATTCTTATAATTAGGAATGTTAATCTTTGGTTCTAATAATGATAGGAAAATGATTTTAGCAGAATGAAACCAAACTTGCACTTAATGTTAGGAGATAATGCTCCTAATAAAACAAATTTCATGAAATGTGTACACTTGAAGATAAAAGAGTGATTAGCACATGAAGATAGGGAAACCATCAACCGCTAATTGACCATTAGAATATGGTCTTAAATATGTGCCTGGGAGTTATGCTATTGCAGTCAATGTAAATATATAATTTGTTTAGATTCTGTTGGTCTTAGCAACCTACCTAGGACATAACAAGGTAATTCAGAATAATGTGTGTGTCAGTTCTCTCATTCTCTCATTATACCAGAACTCAAGGTTACATGAAAATGTAGATTTGAGCATCATGTATTCCAATTGAAGTGCAGGCACACAAGCGTAAATGTAGAGAGTTCTGACTAGCATACATCTGCCTGCAGTGTTACCAAGTCATCTTGGCTTATGATAATTTCTACCTTTCACTTCCTGTGAATTATGCCTCGCTCTTTCTCTCCATTGTCTGAATGCAGCTGGTCTACCCGAAGTCAGATGAACAGAGAGCGCGTCTTACCGAAGCTGTGAAAAACATTCTACTCTTCAGGGCACTAGATGAGGTAAAAAAAAAAAAGGAGAGAAATTTGAGTGTCGTACATGTACTTGTACACGCTCACTTGTACCCTTATTAATATCATAATTATCATTATTCACGATGACCGCGCAGGTGCAGTGGTAACTAAGCAAGCACACTGCCTGTTTATATATTTAAGAAAAAATATATATACCAGAATGAATCAGAGCAATAGTTAGTTTGTGCTCCCTGTAAAAGTTGTTATCGTACATTATAGCTGGCAAATGACAAGACTGTTGTGTGACCTACAATTTGATAAGAGACAAAACAAATCAAGACGATGCTGATAACTAATTCAAATGGCATTGCAAGGAGTAATAGGTGCAAGGCAGCATCAAAAGAATCCTGTATTTCTGCCTTGCAGCGGTATATATTTCAAGCACTATTTCTCCTTGGTTCCCAACTGAGCCATTGTGAGTCAGTACATCTGTCAAGGTGAAAAGAAATGCTGCTCGACTTATTAGATTGAGAATGGTAATTTGACATTTGTGGCTTACATTGCAATTTGCATCAACTGATTTAATGCAATTTATTCCTTGTCTCTCTGTTTTCTGTTTATCATGTAGAACCTCCCCCATTTCTGGAGTTCATTAAAGGCCTTTTTCTTCTCTTTTTTTTGTTTACTTTGTCTGAAAAGTTTTTAAAAATGAAGGGCCTGTCACATTGAAAGTCATTATACTAAACAACTGCTGTTCTGCTCTTACAGTCATAGTGAAGGGCCTTTTTTTCTAAGAGAATAAGTTGTACACATACTTTGGGAATTTTGTATGCAGTGTAAGATTCTTATAAAACCCTTGAATAACAAGATGATTTTCGAAATCTTACAGAATTTTTGAGATATAGAACTCTCTACGTATTATTAAGGTCATGAAAGAACCACGGTCATACCACCATACAGACTGAATTGTTACGTGAACAAACTCATCAAATTTGAAGGCATTTGAGGTCTGAAAACAGAACTCAACTATCCCTTTAAGTAGGAAGAAAGATGACCTCACAACTCAAAAGACATTAAACTAAATTTACAGCCACCTCCCTTTAATCAGGAAAGAAAATTGGAGAATAGATATTGATTGATCAATTTCTGTCACCTCGTTCATTTAGCGATTACCCATCACCTGGCAACACCATGGTAACAACATGGCTGCTTGCTTCTACCAAACATAGCCAGACATCGCTATGGTTACTATGTCATCTTATGGATTAGGATTGAAATGTCTGCTGCTCGCTTCTTTTAGGTTTGCATGATTAATTCAACTTGGTGCCCTAATGTTAATGAGCCGGTATAAGGGACATGAATGAAGCAATAAGACTACTTATAATAGCAAACTTTAAGGATATTTTGGTTGAGGAAAAAAACCCTCGGAATTTAGAAGAAAAGAAGGAAAAATGGATTTCAAAATATTTTGAATAATGAGCAGCAAGATACTAGTAGTATACTTTGCAAGTGCTGTTTACTTGTTAATTTCACTAGAGAAAGATTAATTAAAAAAACTGTGAAGAGTACATGTAATTTATATCCTGGCATGGAATATAAATATTCCAACAAGTGATTGATATATCAAACTTATAGACAGCTTTGTGTGTGCGTTAGCTCTACATATACATGTACATGTAGATTTGAAAAGCATAATTTTATTTGGTTTTGCTTTCAGCTATTCACAATAGAATAACATCTCAAATCATCTCAAATCATCTCAAATCATATCTGCTTCTTACATCCTGCAACTTGTCAAATTCTTGATTGACATACTGTACCAACAAGATACAGCTAATGTATGTACAATTTTGTTCAAAATAGATTCCTTCCATGAAATTGTTATACATGTACACATCGTTTTGAATGAAATGGGTTCTTAGAAGAAACATCTATCAGAATAGTATATTATTAAAGAAGACTAAGAAGTCTATTGATCAGAAAGTAATCGGAACAACAGGTTACATTACTGTAGTTCCATCTTGGAACCATTGTTGAATTTTCGTTTTCATGCTGGCAACTAGATTGCACTTAAAATATACCATTTACCCCCGGGAGGCCACTCAAAAAACATGATTTCCCATGAGATAAGCATGATTTCCATCTCAGTGACAATTTAGCATCTGATATTGCATGAATGATGTACTTCTTCGTCTGTAACTGATCTTATCCATGGTAGGTCTGGGAGATGTAACATACTGTTCATGTGTTGAATTCCAGACAAGTTACCGTTCCTCATCAAATTCAAACCAAATCAAGTGGAAGTAATTTTGAATTTGAAGCCATTGGTGGATGAGAAAATGCTTTAGATTTGTTGAATATACCTCGCATATATACACTGTACATTATACTTATACACGTGCAGATACTTTAATATTTCACATGTGTAGATACAATAATATTTCACATGTGTAGATACAATAATATTTTACATGTGCAGATACTTTAATATTTCACAGCCTGTTGAAAGTGTCCTACATGTGCCTGTTCTCTTGTACCAAAAATAAATAATTTTATGTCTGAACTATTTTCTACATCATTGTCAGTTAGTTTTTTTAAAATGATTTATTCCTGTTTTCAATTATTCCATATCGATTTCTGATTGAAAAAATAACATGTAATTTCTGATAGTGACATTGTACATGTATTGTTGTAACATATATGGGCATTTAATTTGAACTCAACCAAATCATTTGATGGTTGAATAGAGTTACAGAGAAAAGTATGTAACTTCTAATTTAAATGGTTAGCAAAACGATGAAGAGAACCTGTTGTGAATTGATGGTGAATATGTATGAGAAAAAAATGAATGGTGGGTTTTATTCAGGCCTACATATACATCCTCCCTTTTTGTGTGTGTCAAACTGTCAATGATATTGGTATTTTGGCAACATTTAGAGAATCACTGTACAATGTACACAATATAAAATAAGATTTATTTTATTATAAAGATGAGGGGATAGATCAGATGCAAATAGAGTAGATGCATTACCGGTAGATTACGGCAGAGATGTATTATTTTTTTTGTTATTCCTCTCGATCAAGAAAACCCCAGTCAAAAAAATCCCTCTAAAAAGAATGATCAGTTATGTGGAAAAGAGTTACTCGTGATGTATTGGTACATGTTAAGAGCTAAAGAGGAAATTGAGGGTGTGCAAATGTCAATTTCCATTTAGGTTAAGTTCCATGCATCACCCATTCCTCAACTACAGTGGATGTATGCAATATGGTGCATGCAATCCAATCTGCAGAGCTCTGCAGTATTTGCTCCGAAAACACAAAAGTATTGATACAGTTTTGCATGATGATCTGACATTTCATTCTCATTCAGTCAGTCAAGCATTACAACCCAAAAGAGAGCTAGATAGAATCTTTTAACCTTTGCGCAAAAGAAAAAATGCATTCCATATTTCGCGAGCACGTCATGTTATGAATTTAAGGTGATTTTTGTTTGCCAATGGTAATCTGAGCAGACCCTGTTCAACAAGAGAAAATGCTGCTTTGAGGAGAATTCATACGGTCTTTAGGGGGTGGGACTGGCATGGTCATGCACTTGGTTAAACTACCCCCTGTTCGGACTTCCAAAATGCATCGTATAGCTATACGATAAGTAAATATTTTTTTCTAGTCTGAATATTGTACAGTGAAGCACATGTATGAGCATTATTTTTAACTAAAACTCTAAAAAGAAATTAGGGTCCCCTTCTCATCCGAACGTTGTATCGTATGAAAACTGTATAATTGGGCAGGGCAAATCATGAGCATGGACTCATTACTGGCCTCAAAATTAGATCATTTACTGGCTGTTTCTTTATACAACTTTTTTTCATACGACCCTCTTTCCACATGCGTATATGCCCCTTTTGCTTTAATAAGGATGGTTCTTTATACAACGTTTCTTCATACGACACTCTTTCCACATGCGTATGCCCCTTTTGCTTTAATAAGGATGGTTCTTTATACAACGTTTCTTCATACAACACTCTTTCCACGTGCGTATGCCCCTTATGCTATACGATGGTTCTTTATACAATGTTCCTTTTAATACACATATTATACTTTCCTGTAGTTTGAACAGGCTACTAGGGGTTGGGAATGGCGTGGCCATGCGCTTGGTTAATTTAGAAATCTGGGGCTGTGGTTGGGAATGACCTTTGGATTCAACTCATTAGAGAGAACTTTGCTGCTGTTGGTGACGCATTAATGGACTCTGAGGAAAGAGAATTTCATTAGTTGAGTGATGCATACACATGTAACATCGTGTAAATCCAGGCTGAAGAGATATTTTGTGCGAACCTATTTTATTATGTCTGTGCAACAAGTGGGCTAAGCATACGTTTGATTACATGTAGCTCGTTTAGCTTGAAGAGGAGATGAATGAAATTAAATGTCAAACGTGGATATGTAAATTAATTACATGTATATTGACGCTGTAGAGGGCAATTGGCAAATTAGGGATTACATGTACTTCACAGGGAATGCTTAATATTCTGATGTTGATGAAGGTTAAACAATGAGTCTTAATATGTCATAGATTTACCCTAACGATCTAAATCATAGGACCTTCAAAGACAAAAATGTAGCCCTTACAAATTAAATTTCAAAAAAAAAAATGCTTGGTGCCTGCTTTTTACATGAATATAACAGTTAGCATTTGAGTTTCTGTACTGTCCTTATTCTGTGGGGTACAGTACAGCATAAACCTACATATGCCTGGCCAGTCAGGTAGCCTGGCAGCAGGAGAATGTTTTTATCACAAGTAGATAGCTGATGTGATATGTTGTAAATCAAGAATATCTTGCACATGTTGAGCACAGTAGAATTGGAGCACACTATTGCAGACACAAGACCAGTTTTATTTTTCTTCAGATATTAGAACAGAATGCACATGAATGACCTTGTACACTGTATGCCAAATGCAGAGTTGAAATGTATATACTCCCATATGATTTATAGTGTATGCACAAGCTGACACAAGCTGAAGGGAAGTGTATTTTGTGGAGATGTAATTTACTGGCAGAATGTGTCTGAATTTCATTTGTCATGTGTTTATGATGACATTCCAATTAAATTTTCTCATTCTCACTCCAGTTTCTGTAATACTGTAACAATGTTTTATTTGCATGATTAATTTTTCGCGCTGAGCGACCCCAAAACATATTTGCTGGTTCTGAAATTCGCGTTGCCCGCAATTCAGCCCATTCAAAACACGCATAAAAAGTCATGTTTATATTTTCATGAGTTCGCGCTTGCTGATCTTAGCGAATATTTCTACTTTTTTACAGTACCGGTCATCCCTCACAAAGTCACATAAAAACATGCTGTCTTAGTCTGTGGAAATCTGGTTTCCCCTATATTAGTATGAAATATCAAATGTCGCTTTACTTGTAATATAATTTTCTTACCTTTCTTTTTTTTTTACATTTCAGAAACAAATGCAAGAGGTCATTGATGCCATGTTCGAGAAGAAGGTGAGTAAAAGCTTTAATATTTACATTAAAAGCCTTCCAGATCCAGGGTTAAAATTGGAAGTCCTGTTCACATTAGATGCGGTAAACTACCTTTTTTCTTTAAATGCCTTTGCAAAATAGCACAGTCCTCTTCACATTATATATCTTTTAAGTAAGTACATGTTATGTGCCACTACTTTTCTCTCACTTTCATTTGCCATTCATTTACATGTAAAATAGTTAATATTTTGCTTACAAGTGCGCTGCAGTTGCCATTTGTAAACATGGCTAATATAGGTAAAACATGTTGAGTTGGAGGCAACATGATTATAAAAGTCAGGAGAGGATGAATAATGTGTAAAGGCAGTATATCTTGTCATGTGTGAACAGTCGATAGATAATGGGTTCAAATTTGAAGGTTAGACCATCTCTTCAAAGATCGCTTCAGCAGCCAAGTGTGATCATGGCTAACATAAGTTAGTCATGCTGAATACTGAATAGGAGCCAACGCAATAAAATGTTGGAGAAGAAGACTTTTTTTAGGCTGTTTACATCATCACATGTGGACGAGGCTTTCAGTAGTCAGAGAGTTTAAAATGTAAATGTGAACTGCCCCTCCAAAGAAAATGCTCCATGCAGCTCCCTGCAGTTGGCAAGTGCAAACATGAGTAAGTCCTACAGCGGAGGAGGAGGCAACATGAATATAAAGGGTAGAAGATAGCAAGGATAGGTATTGCCACATACTACACAGCTCATGAATGCAAGGAGGTGACTTACACCTTACGCCGGTTTGACAAACCTCCTGCAAGGAGAGCAGACTGCCAGGGATGTAGATTTATCATGTGTAATGGATAGTGTGAATATGATAATCAGATTGGATTCAATGGGGTGGAAAATTGATGTTGAAGAACGTAACGCAGGTTCATTTTGTTAGACTGATTGGACACACCTCCCAGTATGATGTGTTCATATACACAAAATGTACATGTACATGTACTTGTATACTGTTAAAAAACCAAATTTACTTTTTTGAGGCAAATTGCCATGGTTACAGTAATAAATTTGTTCTTTTTGTACTCCCCATCTCCCTCTCTTGATTACTTTGGCATAGATCTTTGTTTTGCTCTTGTGGTTGGAGAAAAAGAAAGGTGTATTTTTAATGAGATATCTCTCACTGACAAATAATATTAAAGAAAATATGCATCTAACATGTACATTATGTATGTACATGTACATGTACACTGCTCCTAAGCACTTGTCCTTAATTTAAAGCTTTACATGTACCTTCATTTGCAATTTGGTTATTTAAAATAACTTTAAAAATAATTATAATTTCGTCAATCATGTTCTAAAGTGGAGTTCCAAGATCAGGGCAAACATGGGTAGCTAGGAGAAAGATTATGGTTTTGTAAATTGTATTCTTTCAAAATCTGGTCTTATTCACTGTATGTAGGCTTATGCCTTTAAAGAAAATATGATTAGTCCACCTGCTACAAGCAATTACATGGAAAGATGACCAAAATTGAGACCAATACAGTTACGACACTATCGACTCTATCAACCTGAAAAAGTAGATCATGTTGTCTGCAGTCAAACAGCACATAAAGGGAGGAACGCTGCCCCAGCAGGGATTGAGCCATGTATTACATCGGGTGTTTGCACTTATCCCACCCCGACATTGACATTCAAAGTATGTTGGGCTCAGGCTCTGTAGAGGAGGATCTTGGAGATTTATTTGTCGGGCGATCACAGTTCAAGTCTTGATGAGCAATGACAAACAAGTGATCAGTACATCAGAGAAAGAAATGCTAAGTTGAAACAGAGCTATCCAGAATGGAGATAGATTCCTGGCACAATGGGTGAGCTTCCTTCATCTAGGCCACGGTGGATAGATCCAAATTGACTTTCCAGCTGCAGCGCGTGCTCTTAGATGAAGACAAATGTGTACCGTGGGTCAACAAACGACAAATTCGCATACATGTTTTGAATTCTTAGGATTCAGTATACGTCAATTGAACTGTGCACAAAGTTAAAATTAATGTTTAGATGGATGGGATGAATATTCTTATCAATTTGTTCTGATTTGGAAAACCTAGATCTTTTCATTTTCTGGTAATAATATATGAAGTCCCCTTTAATATTCCATAGTAAATGAAGATATACAGTATGCATGGAACTGAACTTCCTGACATATATGAATCGTAAATAAATGCACTTGTACTTTGTTTTATAATTATTTATTGTGTTTAATATACTGCTATTAGTTTTATTATTATTATTATTTCTCCCTTCTTTGTTGGTGATATCTGTCACTGAACACAAAATGCTATGCTCTTTTCTGATTCTTGTTATTGTATTATAGCCTATATAACACACTATGTGTACCATCTCAACTGATTTAAATGATTGTAATACTTTAAATGTAATGTAGAGAATTTTAAAAGGAGATATTATTTATTCACATAATCACATCAATTTGCAAATTTACTTACATTTACAGCCTTTACTATCCACCAAAGGTGGATGTATATGCATTGGCATACATTGATGTCAAGAGAGGGAGAGAAAGAAAGAATAGAAGTTGAGACAAGAAAGTAATTGGTGTGAAAAACACCATAATTTTATTATTTTTTTAATGATAATTACTTGTACAACTAAATAGTAATTAGAGCCACTTGAAAAACAACAACACAAGTGTTTATAAATATAATCTGATATGTTTTGTTAATGACCTGAAGGAAAAATAAAAGGATGAAATATGATCCAATTTCTGCTAAAGAGAGTACAAGGAAAGGTCCAATTTCTTCTAAGAGCCAGAACAAAATGTGGTTTCAATTAATTGTTTGAAATGTCAAAACGTGTCTGTGCAATATTTGGCAGGGCAAAAGTAGGTTTGTATTCCATTATTCATATTCACATATAGGGCGGTCTGGAGATGATCACGCATACATGTACTGTAGTAAGCTGAATTAATAGAGTAAAACACTTTTTTTTATAAAATGGATAAACAAGTTTACTCTTTTCTTTTCTTGTTTGTCTTTGTTTTTGTTTTTTTTTTGCTGTAGACATTGTATTTATGTACAGTCAACTGTGTATTGTGTATTTTTGTTGTGTTAAAGAGATGGAACCATGAAATAAGTGTCTCTCTTTAGGCGGTGTCAGACCAATTTTCACGATCCATCTTGAATTACCTAGATATTAGCTACATGTAAACAGGTAAAAGACACAAATTTCTCGCGAAAAATCCTGTGAAATTTCTCGATAAGGGAAAATTTTCTTGATTCGTTGTAGGATTTTTTGAGGGATAATTGATGACAGACAGCGAGTGATCTAGATAGGTTTTTTGGATATTAATGATGTTAATGACACAAAACAAACATTTCAAACTGAACAAAATGGTTCTTTCAATACATATTGTATACAAAGAGAGTTTGTCTCTAGTTATGGAATAGGTAGTCCCAGTCTCATTGCAGTTGAAGAAAAGCTAAATTCAAGAGAGAGATGACCCTGTCATGCAAACAAAACAGGGATCCCTGCAATAAAAAAGCTTAATTATTAACTAAAATACATTGGTGCACAAAGGAAAGAAATCTGTTAGTCATTACCATGTAAATATTTTCTGTCACTGAGATTTGAAAGATTTAGTTGGGCAGGCTGAATTATCTACAGTTGTACCTGTACATCTGGCTCATATTCATAAAACCTTACGAAGCTATAGATGTCAGCTAATTACATCTAGTTAGTTGACAATTAGGCTTACTAAAGTGTTATGAATATGGTCCCAGGTGTACAGTTTACATCTGGACAATATTGCTGTGAACATGTACAGTATGTCAGCTGAAATTATTGAGTTATAAGTTTGGGACTTATGGTCATTTGTCATTCACATCAGTTTTATGAGTACCTGAATATTCCTTAAATGTAAGAGGATTTCAGACGGAATCATTGGTACAAATTTGAATTACTCAGTATGCCAAGTTAATATTTTGGTAAACATAGAATGCATTTAAGCATAAATACCTTCAGAACCAAAATACAATTTAGATCCATGACCATGTCCATGTACAGTACATCTAGGTTATAGTACATGTAGGATTTAATGTATTAGCAGTGTGGTGTATCGGGACAGGATTTTCCCCATCAATCCACCTTCTTTCTCCAAGTTTGAATTTAATTTAAACATAACAATACAAAACATGGCATTCATGAAATATATGTACATGTATGTGTATTACTAAAAAAGCCAACATGTATGTTTATGGCCATAAAATACAAACCCACTTAGTTGCACATCTAAGTAGAATGCCCTATTTATTAATACCTTTAGGTATCATATCCGTAAGTAAGTTTAACTTGCCTATTTCTTTAAACTAGAAACTTTTGTGTACTTCAAATGTTCATGAAGTTAGTCAGATTAGTGAAAGCTTCATACTGCAGAATAATCCAATTACGATTGAACAACTTGGATTTTTACAATTCTTGCCATGAAAATGGCTGTCCTTTAACAGTACACAAAAGTTTGTGGCTTCTAAGTACACCATATTCAATTTTAATGTGTGACTAAAAGGAGGAATGCATAAAAAGAGAAAAAGCATGCCCTTGTGACTGGGTGGATGACACATGATAACATGTAAGTGATGCTCTCCCAGGTGCAGGGTCATGGTGGCTTGGCAAATGAATGATGTCATCTCTGGCTTGCATACACATCATCATTATTACAAGATCCTTCTGTATTAGTCCTTATTACACACCGGTACTGTATATACATTGTACATTTAAAGATATGTACATACTACATGCACATTAGGACTAGTTCATACTTGACCCAGTTAACCAACTTGAGAAAATCACAGAGGCAAAATAAAATGACAGTGTATGGTGCTCTTCCGTATCTTACATGTATTTGTATACAGAAAAGAGAGTTTGCTTTAATACGCCCTTTGTTATGCACTGCTACCATATTTTGTTCACCTCCACCTGCCATATGTACTTTTAAATAAAATTATTTCAATTAGCTGTGGATATTTATTATTTTAGGGAATGACCATGTCATGGGTGAACAAAGCTTTAGCAGGTAATACATTGTAAAATACCTGATTTAGTATTCACATCAGATACATTTCTTTGTGTGATTTAGAATACAAATTCCATAGAAATGTGATGCCACAGATATGAGAATATCGGTGTATGAGGCTCATAGCATAAATAAGATGTGACCTGCAACACTGATATCCAGTCAGTTTTCCACATGAATTTCCAGATAAAGATCAGAGAACAATTTATTGAAATGTAATATTGATCTTACCGTATTTGCCGGCGATAAGGCCACAGCGCCGCATAGGCCGCACCCCCAACTTTGACATTTCGTAGAGGAAAAAAACCGGACCAAACAAAATAATCGTAATTTTCTTGTAGAACACAATTTTGTCTACAAACGGTAGATTGAAAAATGTTAGAAAAATAAGTAATGAAGTTTATTTTCGTCTTCATATCATTAATGCAACATAAAATTGTCGGTAAGATGTGTGGAGTTATGCTAGAAATGTCCTGTCCCATTGTATAGTCATGTAGTCCCATATGCACGAATGGACGTGCTGTTTTGACCGCTGAATTTTTAGTTGTTGCGCAAAGGCAGCACCCAGACTTTTTAATATTTTCTTTTCCGAAAATACTGCGGCTTTTACGCCGGCAAATACAGTAAATGGTTCAGTATAAGTGGTGCTGTAAACCTGTAATGTACATGTACATGTATGTACCTTGGCATGTGAGAAACACGTTTGTAGGCGATCAGTATCATGGTTTGGAGGAGTCACTCCACAATCCACATATTATACATGTAAGGCCAAAATGCCAAATAGTCAAGTGGGTGCAATAGGAGAAGTAAGAACATATGACTTTACAATAAAAATAGCTGAGGGACTCGTACAATGTATTTGCAACACATTTACATGTTCAGTCTACTTTATCTGTCCATGTAATTAGTCCCGAGAGCTTAACTCTGTACAGTGTATACATGTACCTGCTACGGGCTGAACTTAACATACGGTAACCTGTAGATACAAATATTTTAATATAATCTATTCATCTACATCTATCTATCTATCCATCCATTTCTATCATTCTTGCTATCTACATATTGTATCTATGTACCTGTCTATCTTTGTACCTATCTATGTCCCATAACTTGGGTTATGTGACTACGTTTATACATATTCATGAGATGCAGGTTCTACACCACTTATTACCTGCTGGTACATGTATAAATACATTGTAAATAAAAGTAAGCGACTTGTTTAAATACAAATTTGTAGTCCATGTTTGGATGTAAGCTAAATATAAAAGTTTTAAGTTGTAAAAGTGTACTGTACATAATATATGTTGTGCAAGAGCTGCATACATAATGTGGGGGGATGAGAATGGGAGCAGCCATAAAGCATATTCTTGAGTGTTTTCTCCAGCTTTACACTGTCAAACAGCACTTCTTCATGCTCCATATTTTTCCCTTGCTTTACAGACGACGCCAGGTGATCACGTCATTGACCAGGGAGACGATGGTGACAACTTCTACGTCATAGATAGGTAAGCATCTGACGTTGGCTCGTCTGTTTGAAGCCCCTCGCTAGCTAATCCTGTGTTACCTAGTCAGCATCTCATCACACCCTTAACACAGTGCAAGAATATATTGGAAAGGCTGGCTGAAGGGGATGAAATATATCTTCCTAACACTTGTATATATTTCTGTTCAGGGTAAGATCTAAGGCTTGTGTGAAATAGTTCCCTGAGGCTGGCATTGGAGAAGGTATATTTGAGCGTATTGAAGTCTGCGATGAGATGGCGATACAGGATGTAGGCTTGCAGTAGTAGGATTGTATTTAATTAAATTTCAGGTATACTCAAGTTGTATGTAGTACTTATGGTTGTGGGAATGAGGAAAGAAGTTAATTAAAACAGGATTTAAACGAAACCAACAACTGTTCAACTGGTTGAAATCGTTGCATTGCGATAGTAGCCTGATCAAGATAGTAGCCTGATCAAGATGTCTGCAAGTCTCTGGTTATTTTAAACTGATTTACATGGAGGAGCTACAGGTCTGACTCATTTATACAGAACCATGTACAGTACATACTGGTGAAACGAAAGGGGTGGTTTGGGGTGTATCTATTACGTGATGCACGGGCTGTATCTTCTCCACTGAATGCCCATAGCCTCAGCTTTTATTGCCATGGTGATTCACTCTCCAGCCTCTATGTAACCAGAGCCCGGCTCCCATATATCGATTCTTCGTGGTCCCTGCGACTTTTCTCAGGCATTCTCACGATTACCAAGCAGAGGAGCGCCCTGGTGGTGAAGAGTGACTTGAGGTGTTTTGTTACGTCTCTTGGGGATTTCTTTAAAGTGTTGTCCTTACTACATGTATGTGCCTGTCACAGGTTGGGAGGATGTTATGTCGTGCCACATCATTCATGATGAATGTGGAAGAGGAAGATTCTTTGATTCATCCTCTCAATATACCCCCCCCCCCTTTCGTTGTGTGATTTTGTATGAAAAGATAAATTAGATTACATTCAATATATTGGAAAATAAAAGATTTTCAAAATATTGAATAACCCATTTGAAACTTATTCAGATAAGAAGTAGTATCTGAATATAGAACTTGAAAATGAACAAAAATATATGAGAAAACATTTGATGACTCAGACTGTGTAGTATTGTTATTGACAAATGACAATGAAATGCTAGATTGTATTATGAGACAGTCCTGAGCAGACTTTTGTTCTCGACTATCATAACAACATTCCCACATACCTATTACAAACACCAGGACAAATAACAAATTTTCCTGCGAAAACTTTATTTCGAAATTTTATGATTTAATCTCCTTTATTTTAGTGTGTTGCTGTACAGTATGGAACAGGTAATTAATTATCTTGTGATGACATATAGATATTCCCCCTTTTTCTGCATGTCTTCTTTCTATACAAGAAATGAATCTAATTCATTGGAAATTTATAAAAGAAAATGTTTTACATCAATAGCATTACTCATCACAAATATTGACCTCTTTTTGTTATCAGAGGAGAATACGACATCTTTGTCAATGATAACAAGGTGGGAGCCTACAAAGACAGTGGAAGTTTTGGTGAACTAGCACTCATGTACAACACACCAAGGGCAGCAACAATCGCTGCTACTACAGACGGAATTCTCTGGGCTTTGGTAAGTGTCTTATTTAGTAAAAAATAACAGTATATTAAACACCTCAGTCACACCAGCAAGACCGACAGTCAACAGACTGAAGAAAAAGAAATATATTTCCTCAAATAGTCAAACGTCATCCAGTTTGGAATCGTTGTTGAGCCAGTTTGGTGGTGTGGCTACTTGTATCGAGGTGTCTTACCATCTGCAAAATTTAAAGGTGCATGTATTTGTAAGATGAATTTCAATTTCAAGAGAAAGAGTTCACTATTACTTGTGTATGTGTGTGGCTATCTTGTACAGATAATTAAGAACTCAAATTATACTTTATGTCATAGCCCAATATATGTTGAAAAGTACAATAGCTGTACACGTTCATAGCTTGATAATGTTATCTTCTGACATTTTTCTTTTATCAATCATACTTTGCGTCAAGGATGATAATCTTTAGCCCCAACTACAGCCTGTGAGATAGGAGTAATGCTTACATGCAGATATTACAGTTCTTTGAACTAAACTCCTTGTATTATTATGGTACACATCACATACCTGCACTTTTAGTAGGCCTACTCAGCATGCATGATCCATTTCAGCCAAGTTTATTTTCTGCGTTTGTGTTCATCCGCTTTATTGAGAGCCTAAATTGACATAACTGCCTACATATCTTAGCATAATATGAAGATCTAGTACCAGCAGAATATACATATCTTAAAAAGTATTTGTTATCTTCATGTATGTGTACACATTATAAAAGTACATGCATTGTTACTCAGAAAATTTTCTCATTATATACCTAGTTTATTGTCATGTCTTACTGCATGAATACACATATTATGCACTGTACATACTGTACATGTAGTATGTATGTGGAGGTACACATAAGAGTTAAATTGTCATAAATTAGCTTCTTGGTCCTCTTTCTAAGCAAGATCAATAAGGCCGTTATTGGCTAATTATTTATTGTCATTTCTGGTCATTAGGGTCGAATGGTTGAAGGTGGAGATAATTGCCTCATGAATATTTTTCATTTGACTGCATCAGAGGACATTGAGATTTCATTATTGAATGCAGTATGAGAATAATGTACCTGTACATAACATAGAACAAATGATTTGGGTCATTTTGGGATTTCTTCTATGTGTTTGCCATCATAGAAAGAAAAAAATGGCATTCATACAAGTGTACACGTACAATTTTTGTTGAAAACTTTTGATTTCTTTTATAACATTCTGTACATGATGTAGATTCATGTACAATTTTACCACAGAAGAAATCTCATGAATTGAACTTGACCTTTAACTATGTGCAGTCTTCTTGTGTCATGGACCCATTCATTGACTATGTTACAGTATAGATGGCACTTTGTTCGTATCTACTGTACTGACTGTAATTACTCTGCTTATCTTCACCGAGATACCCATGTGTATACGTGCTGCGTGTGGATGCAGCTGGTTCTAAGGTTGCTAGATTCATTGGATTCCTAATTGCAGGATAACAGATACTTGCTCTTCATCGACATCGACACACAGCATGATGAAGATGACGATGATGGGCTTGCTAGGGTCTAATTGACTGGCCGAGACGTGAGGCTGGTCTGGCCAGCAGGAATCTTTGCACTGACAGCTCTCTTAATTGGCATCTGACATTTTGCAGTGCACACATGATGATGTATCGGTCCTATTGGCCTCGTGGGGTAGCAACAGACAGTGGCAAACTTCAGAGATAGGCACAGATAACTAGACATTGAAGAATCTTTGCTATCCACGTGGTGACATGAACAAAATGTAGATGAATTGGATTTTACACAACAAATATCTCTAATATTACAAGATTTCCCATTGCTTCATTTCTAGTTCTCGTTACGTTTTATAGCGAGTGTGTGGAGGGGGAGGGTGGGGGATCAAGTTCAATTTTAATTGTTATTTTCCACATTCCATAATAAAGGTAGCATTGCTCAGCAAACGTTATTATGAGTCATGCTACTGCATGTGAAAGGGAAAAACATTACAATAAAGCATTTGCCTCTAAATGGAATTCAATTTTTTAAATTTTAATGTCTTTATTAATTTTTCATTACTCAATTACTTGCATACCACTCAATTACCACTCAATTACTCATACCACTCAAGCAAGGTGGTATTTTGTCTCTGAACTTCTCTCTTCTATACCTAATTTTACCATGCCCTCACTGTAAAGCAAATATTAATGTATTCCGTAATAAACCTAGTTGTCAAACAGCTGATAAATAATTGAATATTGAACAGAATATGAAATTAGATCCCAGTCACGAGTCTTATCATCTAATATGTTGTTGGAATAAAGAAGTAATACTAAAATCTAATGTGCACATCAGTAGGTTTGAGATTTGAGACTAAATGAGCCATGCATGATTGTAGATGACTACTGCAGTTCAATCAAGTGAAGGACGATGATTTGGTAAGATTGCAACTCAAATATGTAATTGCTTTGCTCTCCTGCCAGATGTGCCCTATAACAAGAAATAATGTAACTATATGACTGCTCGCTGTAACCGTGCTTGTGTGTGGGAGTACCAAGATTAAGTTTTGTACAGTTGCTCCTAGGGAAACCAGAGACATCATTATAAAGGTTGATTTCTAAAGCGAGGAGCGTGGGGTTACAATTGCCTTTTTAATATTTCCTATTCATGGATATACATGTATGTATGCAAGCAAGGACAAAGAGAAACCATAGAACGTCATAAGAATCAGTTTTCCTGGTTCATTTTGTGTATCAGCGCATGCTACGTGATGTGAGGTTGCTTGACATATGGGGAAATGATGAAATGGAATCAGCGTGCAAGTTGTCAGCTTGTAGAGAGCAAAAATATTGTTAACCTGGGCCCCGTCTTTAATACACAGAGTTGATATCAATGGCAACTGTACATAGGAGATTGCAAAACTTGCGATTGATTAGAGGACTTGCGATTGATTTGTAAGACGATGCCCAGTTGTTAATAATACCTGAAATGTAGGTCATCACAAGTTAACTTACAAATTGTGATGCTGAATATTTCATCTTTCATAAAATAAACAACATCTTTATTACTATCCCTTTGTTTGAATATCTGCTATGTAAAAATCAAACTTTGACATCTCTTAAAAATGCAACTTTACAACTCATAAAAATGCATTCAAATACAGACACATTATCTGCTGAGAAAGAAAAAAAAAAGCTTTAACTTTATACAGATTGATGATACGACTTAAGTTCTTCCAGCTTTCCGCCTTTATCTCTAAGGCTCTTTTAATCATTAAAGTAAGTTTAAAGTGAAGAAGCGATGCAAAGTTGTTTACTCCATTTTGAGCACATTGACTGCTTTATGGGCATAACTTGAGGATGAAAAAGGAAAAAAACTAGCACATTTCTTAATTTTTTACCATTAATATAAAAATGTGTTGGTTGAAATTCATGCACATGTATTTAGAGCAGAGGATGGCAGGACATAATGGTAATTGACTTGACGAGAGAAAGGAGATGGACCCTACAGCATCCAAACGATGCAAAACATAAAAAGAAGGTACCCTAGCTGTACTTCTCTGAGGATACCATTACTTTAATAGAATTGATGCATAGAAAGATGCTGTCTTTTCCTCGTGCCCTGAGGGAGTGTAAGGTATCTGTCCCATCTAATGTTTTGGGTACACTCTGGGATGAATTTAATATACTATAGGTGTTTACGAAGAGAAGGCAGTGTGTTTTCAGTGTGCGTGAACGGGTACACTAATAGTGAATAGCTTCTGTGGATGGATAGTGTGTCAGCAAATCTGAAAACATGAAGGCTGCAACTGGTCTTATGAAATTGAATTCAAGATACCTTGTTTTGATCATGCCATCAAAAATTAACCTTTTCATTTACGTGATGGGCTTTTTTCTTTTAAATGCCCTGTTTATTGTTAGACAAGCATGACTTTTTTATGAATTAGGGCAGTTGCTTAAGGCATGAAAAAGTTAGGTTAGGCATCTACATGTAGTAGCTATTTCAATGTAGCATTTGGTAGATGCCATATGATAGATCCTCATCATCCTACCATAGTTCTGCATTATTTGCTTGTTTTTAAAATGTAATGTAGGAAAATACCCCCTCCCCCTCATAAAAGCAAAATAAACAACAAGTATGACAACCAGATAGTAGAGTTAGATAACAATTGAAGTTAATGTAAGGGTTGTATTCAGACTCAAGTAAACCTCCCACATTGTATTCAGGAGCGCTGAACAAGATTGACCTAATTCTACCCAAGTGGTCTGTATTTGCAAATGTCAGCTAATATGTTCTTGAACATAACTCTTGTGATGTAATATTAACATCCATTGCAATCGGCATCCTTAACCACTGAAATGAACAATTGATGAAAAGACAATTCTTGAGTCAAGTTGCCCTAAGGTACTCTGCCAAAACCTCTTGCATAATTGTGATTTGTGGCATGTTGATTTCTTGTCTTGCCATTCCACTAGAAGTAATCAAATGTATCACGGTGGGCTGGGTCTTGGCTGTTGATATTGACATACCGTCTTGTGCTTGACTGCACTTTTCCTTCAAAATCAATGCGGGATTGGTGTACGCCTGATAGGAAAAGTAGCAAACAGATTGGCATGTTTACAGATGGACGTTTAATGAAGTGAAAATGTGATGTCCCCGCAGCAACCCCCCAAATGTTATTGGACACAGCAAACTGTGTAGCATCTTTGTTGATCACACCTAAAAACATGAACAGTCCCGAGGATGATTGTATCATGCACCTGCTTGTGGAAATAACAAAAAATGTCACCTGCCTTGGGTATCTATTTCAGGAGACATTTTGAGATGAAGAGCATTTTTTTTAATGCTTTCAGAAACCATAATTTAATTTTCATCACCATATTTTGCCCTTGGTAATATATATAAGTGTGAGAGTGGACACATGATGTTTTTAAATTTTTTTTTTTTTTGCTACAGTAAAAATAAAAATTGCCAAACATCTATGATAATGTAGTTATTTATATGGTATCATTGAAAATATCTGACCATTCAGTGAATACATCTTTCCTTTTTGTTTCTCCAGGACCGTGTTTCTTTCAGAAGGATAGTACTAAAGAATGCAGCCAAGAAGAGGCGTATTTATGAAGAGCTGCTTGAGAAGGTCTCTATATTCAAATCTCTAGAGGTAAGAATGTGTAGGGTTTTTCAATAATTATACAGTAATTGGAGGATCAAGGTATTACTTGCTTTGACAGTTTTAAAGAATTTAAGATTGTGAATGATATAAAGACTACAAGTTTAAATATTCATCAGAATCATTAGAATTGTATGGAGTGGAAGTGACTGCATCCTCAAGTTTGAAATGATGGGGGCTGTATAAAAAAAAAGAAGGTTGAGTGCTTGTAAAATTGCCATTTAATTGTGAGCTTTTTCCTTCTTTTTAATGTTTATGCAAAAGAATATTCTAGAAAAAGTGACCCCCTGCAAAGGATGGCCCTCTAATGCCCTTGAATTCTAAATTTGACAGGGGTTCTTTACAGGGTTGGATGTTTTGTTTCCGTATGACCCTTTCCCAAGCCTTGAAGGCTATTTAATCATAAATACATATAGGGCTTGATAAATCATAATGTGCTTAGTTCTTGCAATATCTTATTCAGCATTGAGATCTTTAAAATGAATTATTAATGGGTTAACTGAATATTTCATAAATGTGCCTAGTATTCATTCATTCATTCAAACAATGAAAGAATGACTAAACTTTTGTTTATCCATGTATGTATTAATTAACTTAAATATAAACATAATGTTGTCCATTTGGCTGGGATTGAAAGGAATTGCATGTTGTTTGCTGATCCCCTCTACATTTTCAGACAGTACTAGTATACTACATGTAGGTTTCCTTTGTTACTGCTAATGTGCTCACAATGTATACTGTACATAGTCAGGTTACAAAACTGTAGAAGCAATAAAAGTACAAGAGCATTTTTGAAAGAGCAAAGTAACAACCGGTCACTGGACTTTGTACAGATAAACCTTTTTGTTCGACAAGGGGATTCGATATTGTGATTGTTAGGTGCCTGGATTGATATACTGTTAACATTGTATATCTGTCTAGGCTGGTAACGTGATGTGGTCCCTGTAACATAAAGTGTTAAAATTGATTGCATCTCCCTCAAATAATAGTCAATCAATACCTAAATTTACATTAAATAGCAAGATACAAAATGATTTTATGTTTACAGATACACACAATGCATGGTAAGATACAATAAATTGCAGCAAGATCGGAGATGCAATAGATTTTTATGATTGATTGAACATAGAATTTCATGTTGCAGGGTCCTTGGCAGACAGAATGTCACTTAAAGGCATGTACATGTACGTGTTAGCATTTATGTATGTCCATTTTAATCATAGAGTTGGAATGGCTACAGAGATATGTAAAACACAATACTTGTTCAAGAAGACTTTGTAACCTTCCATTTGGATTCATGTAATCAGTAGTTTCTAGTAGGCATAATGAGGGAAGCTGTAGAAGTCATTGAATCGAGACAAAACTAATGGACAATTCTAATACTTGGCATCATCAGAGAAAAATACCAGAGCCTTTCCAGTGAATACATACATGTACTTAAATTGGCATGGAGTCATAACCTATTCATTTTCAAGGAAAATTATCATAAAATAAGCCGTTTTCATGGCTTGAATGGTATGCTGTTGTTGAAATGAATAAGGGTGCTCAATTTTGAAGGCAGAATGAGCGATTTGAAACGCACATCGTAAACGCTCATCGTAATCGCAGTTCCACGGTGTACTGTTTATGCTCACTTCTCTGGCTCCTCCAGGCAATTTTTGCTGGGTGGCCTTAAAGGTACTATGTCCCTTTTGCAGCCAACCTCAAATGCTGTAGAACTTTGCAGGAATTATGAATATGTCATGTATGTCCTATCTGTGAAATTTAAACATTAGCAGTGTCCTCATATTCAAATTATGCAAGGAAAACCGTTTACTTGCTAGACTTCACTGTCAGACACTATTGAGTGACTGACTGGCTTTTTTCTTCTTTGGTAATAACATACATGAAAAGAGTTGTAAAGGGTACATGAGTATTTGTCTACATCAATAACCCACTTCTTGTGATGGCCAAGATTAAACTGATTGAATCTTTGCGCATCATAAAACGTAACTATGACCATTCAGTACTTGTCTGAAAATCAAGACTATTACTTTTGGGCTCTATAGCCCTAAAATCGATTTGACAACTAATAGTCGTTATTTTCCCACTTGAAGACATTTTCAAGCCCCACCTTTTTAGGGAAGTTCTAAATTAGTATTATCTTTCAAATGCAGTTGGAATTTAACTTTTTCATTTTTTTGGCCTGCAAATGGGACATAGTCCCTTTAATTGGCCTCGCAAACCTGCACTGTGCATGCTACGTAGACCCACTAGAGATCAGTGCGTTGACCCCATTTAAACGCGTTTACAAATTGTAAACGCACCTTTTTGTGAGTTTACGATCGGCGATTCTTGATCGCCATTTTTCGGTGATTCTACAAAAGTGAGAAAGGACACAATCGTGTTTTGAACTAAACGTGTAACAGATGCCTGATTCTGGCCAGAAAAAGTTGAGCATAAACATACCCTAATACATATCGAATACAACCCCTCCCCTTCCCCCCCCCCCCCCCCCAAACCCTGAGAAGAAAAAAAGAGAGACAAAAAATGTGTTGTTTATTCTACATGCTATCCTTGTACATGTTATTGCTTCTATTTGTAATACTTCCACTGTTGTAGATGCTGGTTCTGTCAGCATTTCCTTCAGATTGCCATCTCTTTAATTTCTCATTCTCACTCTCCTTCTCCTCTTTATTCCTCTGCTCCTCTATTTCTTTTCTCCCTCCTCCTATATACATAATGCTTTCTTCCATCTTATCCCATCTCCTTTTTCCCCTATCAATTTGTCATTCCCTCTCTGTTTGTATAGAAATATGATTATATGATCTGCATGCACGTATGCCCCAGTTCAGCCCTCGACTACCATCTCAATTCATTTTTTATACTCGATGGACCAGATTTAACCAACTTTTTAAACTTCTCATTACAAAGTAATTGTGTTTATTGCCTGAGGTTCTACATGCATTACTGACGTCAACGAACTAAATTCATCGCCCCTAGTAATCCTCAAAACGACTTTTATTCCTCTGTGCATTTATGTGACTGATTGGAAAAGAAAGAGAGAAGATGTTGAACTGCCGTTCGCACACAACCTTACGATTTGATGTGCTAGTAATGGATTTATGTGACTAACACTGGAATCGTTCAAGATGTAATATCCTTGGTAATGCTCTCATTGTGAATAATATTATCATTTTCAAGTCAATTAAATTTGTTTCTTATTTTAATTGTTTGTTTTGTTTTGTTTATCATTCCGTATTTTAGCCATATGAACGTATGAACCTTGCAGATGCATTAGTAACAAGGACATATGAGGATGGAGATTGCATTATTGCTCAGGTAAAAAACTCATTTCTACACATACTTGTATTTATCTTATATGGTATAAAAGCAGTGGGAATCAGTATATTTACATTCAATGAGAAACAAATGTCTGTGAACATTGATTTCTTATACTGTTGATTTTGTTTAACCCTCTTAATGAATCATTTAATTTTTATATAGTATGATTAGAATTGATACATTGGATTTCAATCAAGTAAAGTCCTTTAGTTGAACTAAAATACACAACCATTGACCATTTTTTAAATATTTTTACAGTAATATTTCTATGGATCAGTCTGATTAGATCTATTTCTGTCATTTGTTATTTTGATTTATATGATGCTATCACAAAGATTTGTTCAAATGATGAACTGAAAATCAAAACCTGTTACATGCATATTATGAATATAAACACATTATTTTGCCCTTAACAACAGTGGTTTTATTTAGAATACAAGTGAACTATCATTTGTCTTCTCAAGCATATTGGATGACCATAGAATGACAGATAAGAGAATATTGCTAGTTCAGGCAGCAACCATAGCATCAGCAAAAATTTGTCTAATGGAAATTAAGGTATTCTTGAAAAGTTAATATTCAGGTTGAAGCCAAATGACCTTTTTTCAGTATGCAGATCCCTCTGTATGGAAAGCCATCTTCAGACGAGATATTACTCGTGTTGTAACTGAGCTTCTCCCATCAGCAATGGAGATCACGCCAGATTCCATTTCAGAATCAAGAAATAATACATTTTATTGGATTTCTTTCTCTTCCCTTATGACAGGGAGACGGGGCCGATGGGTGCTATTTCATTGAAGCAGGACAGTGTAGGATTGCTATGAAGAGTGAGGTAGGACTAGGAAGACTTTTTCTCATTTACCCCATTCTCTTTTTATTTTTCATATGTATTCCTTTGTGTTTCGTTGTTCGGTTATTATTCATAGATTGATATGCGTAGCCTTCCTTAGTTTTGTTTGGAAATGTTACATTATTATTTAATGCACATGAATGATTTTGTTAAATAACACACTTTTTTAACCATTTTTAGTTCAGCACTGCACTTCACAATTCAAACATTTAGACCTGAAAACCATTAACTTCATATGTAGAGAATAACATTGTAGTTTTGTCTTAATTGAAACTGGTATTAATTTTGAAATACTTTTTTTTTGTTCCTTTCAGTTTGTAAATTAATTTTTATGTTTAATCTGCACCAGATCTAGACACTGAAGAGGTGTAGAATATTATCTTCATCAACATTCTAATATTACCCTTTGTTGCTGCACAACAACTACTCTTCTCTCTTTTTGTTTTTTTACATAAGAAACCCCAATTTCTTTCCATGCCTTTTGTTTAACACACTCTATGCACCTACATACACCCACCCACTGAAATGAGAGAAACGTCTTCTTTCCCCGATCTTTTGTCATTCCTCGTGAACCATGACATTTAATGAGCAATGGGGAGACAGCAGGAAAACCTAATTGCTAATACTTTGATGGGAGATAATATTTTGTGTCCTCTGGTTAGTTCTTATGTCTTTTCCTCATCTTTTTCCAGGTTGTTCTCCCGGCTTGTGTTTGTCAAAATACTAGATGACTGTAATGGTTTTCTTTACTCCCCGCAAGCTAAAATATCAATTTGCAAAAGGAAAAAAAAAGCATTCAAGATACTAGGGCAAATTATCTCTATTGTCTTTAATAGACATGTCAAATTTCTAGAAGAGTTATGTAGCATGCCAACGGCTTTATGAAGAAAAAAACAAAAGTATGAATAATCTATCCTTGAATCTCCATTCAATTTCTTTTAAAAATAACATGTTTGAAGGGGTAGGGTTTTATAGAATATAGAAAAGGTATGTTTACATGCAACAGAAGATTTAATTTTAGTATGTCCATGTGCTGTAATTGATTCTTGTTAAAATTCTCCCCCCCCCCACCCCAGTGTCATTGGTAATGTCCAGTATCTATTATACACTGTGTTCCTTTATTTCACTGCAATCTCTGTCTTTATCTGTTAATCTTCTCTCCTCTTTCCTATGCTCTCCTCTTTTCCTCTTCCTTCATGTTCCTGTTTTTCTGTTTGCTCCTCCTTCTACCTGACTTAGCATGCTCATGCGGGTCGCTACCCTGCCTCACGCCAGTCACACGCCATACAATTTCACGCTTTCCTGCATCTCTCCTTGGAATCTCTTGGCTTCTGCCTCCTGTTGTTTGCCATCCTCATCGCCATTTTGAATCGCCACCTGTTCACCGCTTAGCTTACAATCTCACGTGCCATTCAGCACTTTACAGTGCATTCCATGTCCCCAATCTTTTTATTCTTCGTCCGAGCGATGATGTTTGTCCTACCGATAAAAAGTAAACAAGTGCAGTGTTTTCGGTTCGCTGATTTTATGTCAAAATCAAGGCCACATTTAAGAACTTCTAGTCCCTTGTTCCTTAATTTGTTACTAGAACTCATAAGCTGCTGTGATTATTGCTCGCTCACATTCATCAAAGATTACAAAAAAAAATTACCAAAATGAGAGAAATAATTACTAAACTTTGATTTACTATGATAGACTGTAATTTCTTCTCTGTACTACCCTTCTTGTAAAACTTTGATTGGATTTCGGTAACTACTTCATCGATTTCCATCAACATCCAAATCCCAACTCACAACTGTAAAACATTTACTTTATGGTTCATTGTTTTAAGTCGGCTTTAAAGAATTCGCATGGACATAATATGGAACGCAGACATGTGCATGGGACTGCATGTATGCACCATGGATTACATCAATGCATTATACATGGGACTTGGTTGTCAGCTTTTTCCAGATTCCACAAATTTTTTACCATATATAGAATTCCAACCTGTTGATTTTCACCCGTAGTCATAATACTAAAGCGGGCTGGTGAATAGTTTGAGCTGCTCAAGTATGTAATCCAATTGGGAGATGTTAAACTAGTTCATGCTTCTATAGACCCTACAGCTAGATTAGATAAACAAGAAACGCAGACAGGGAGAAACCGAATATTACCCGTTTTATTTGTACATTCGTTTTTCAGATGAAGCAAAATTCAACAGTTCCTCAGGTACTGTACCACATTTATGCGTGAAATCAACTAAACTGCGATTGATTATCGATGCAATGAAAACAAAATTGGTGAAAGGGAATAAATAATTGGGTTTGAAAATATTGCAGTGGCTGGCTTTCCTTCTTTCTGATCTCCAGTCTATACTGGTCGATCTTTTGTGTAAATAAGGAGATGTATAGACCTGTTGCTGTGATTGTCTCTTAAACTCACTGCCTGGTATTGATATGTGTTCCTGACTAACAACCATCTATTAACATTACCCTTCATGATATAGTTGACGACTATAAACGGCCATTTAATTGCATTAATGACGTTACTGAAGCATTAATAATTTCTGATTACTCAACTGCTGTAGGTGGAAGTTTGTAGGATCCATGGTCGTAAAACATTTAATGTGAAAAAAGGAACCCCCCCCCCCCCCAAAAAAAAAAAAAAAAAATAAAAATAAATAAAAATAATAATAATAATAAATAAATAAATAAATAAATAAATAATAATTAAAAAAAATCTACATTCTAAATTCTCTGGCACTTATTCTTGAAAGCTGAAGGATTGAAAAGTTGAATCTGATTTATTTTAGTCAACATGGAGTACCACATGTCAACATCTTGTAAAAGTAAGCAAATAAACATTATTCTTTAATTGATACAGAGGACTTGACACTTGGTGCTCCATAAATGAGTTGACTATTAAACTCACCCAATGAAAGTTTATAAAGCTGACACAAGAGTACAGGCCCTTGTTTGATACTCGATTAAATACTGGACTGTCTTTATTTTCAGGATATATATATATATATATATATATATAATATATATACAAAAATACAAACATATTTTCACCATACATCATATTGCTAGATATATAAACTGCAAAATTTGGATGAATGGCACATACATGCATGTTTGACTGCTTTGATGTGTTTGCAAATAGCTTGCGACACTACAGTGTATGTGTTTTGTTAATGTGTGAATAATGGCACTTTAGTTTCATAATATTAGCTATATTTTATGACAAATTTGATGCACTAAGTGAGGTGTGTGTCTCTACTATTATCTTGAAAATGTGATGATATCCATCTAGATACCAGAGTGTCATGTCTGCCATGGACCTATCGCAATGCACTGCACTGCACTGCACTGCAAGGAAAAGGCGCTATATCAAATATCTTTGGATTGGATAAATGTTATATCTCAATATTGAATTTATCTGGTTTATTCAAGAGTCTTGTAGCAGAGCTTCTGAATATGTCAACCTGTGTGCCACCCTTTAATCTACTGCATTATTCAGTTTTGCATTACTCAGTTTTGTGGCTTTGATAAGATCCCTCTAATGCACACACTGAAAAAGAAAAAAAGAGAAAGACACCCAAGGCTGTTTGAGTAATTTATGAAGTTTGTAAAGAAAAATCAAGTGAAATTCAGGGTTGAAACTCGTGGAGGGGGGGGGGGGGGGGGGGGGGGAGGGGAGATCTAGCAACATTTTTTTTGAAGGTGCAATTATTTTTCTTTTTTCAAATATACATTGTGCAGTGTTTTGTTAATGATGGCTAAAGAACAATTGCTATGCCTATACCTAGTTATGCACATTTTATTTTCACTGTTCAATAGTTAACATCAGGGGCAGGTTGACAGATTATTTCATGGGGTGCATTTTATACTAACATTTATGTAAGAAATGATTATTGTCTCAAGTCAAACGCCTGTTTTTAATGTATATGAATAGGAACTTTTTTCCGCCATGAAAACGGAATGATTTTTGAAAAAAAAATCCATTAAATGAATTAAAGACACATAGTGAGACACATTCACTTTGTGAAATTCAGAAGAAATAAGTTAATCTAATCATTTTAAGAGGGTGCAATATGGTGTCAAATGCATGAACCAGATTACTATCAATGCACTCTTATAATTGCTCTTTACTTCAACTATAATGTTACTCAGAAACAGGTTTGTATTTTGATCATAGCATTACATATAAAGATTGACAAATACGTACTGGAGCTATGAAATACAGATGTGTTTATCTTAGTAATGTTTAAGTTGCACATATTGAGAACAGTTACTTTACGATGTTGCTTATTCTGCTGCAATTTTCTAAAAGTGTATCTAGAATTGTTAATATTTATCTTTCTTGAACCCTACACTTATAGTTACAACTACAGAGTTCTAGTTATAGTTTCAGTTCTTGTTTATCTAACTTTGTTGTAACCAGTTTCTCTTTTCTCAATTGTTCTTTTCTACCGTTCCCTTTAAACCCATGTCCATCCTAAACCCATACGCTAATTCCTTCGTTTACCACACCAACATCAAACAACATTTCTCTGGAATAATGTTGCCATTTCTATTTCATCAATCAACTGATGATGATGTTGCCAATGTGATGTCTCACTCGTTTTGCATGATGAAATCTTTTCTTCTTCAATCTCATCTACAACAAAAATTCACCCTTTACAGAGATCAGTGAGTATTGTGTGCATTTCTCAATTTTAGTTCATGTTTTCTGAGCACCAAGGTTAAAGGTTATCTTGAATTCTGGTACATCCTTACTCAGAATCATCTAATAGCATAGAGTCTTTGGACTGCACACTGTAAATAAAATTTATACCCGCAGTCCAGCATATACATGCACCGGTATGTGTTTTTAGTATAATATGCTATAGGTGATCAAAAACTTTTTGAAATTGCAGGGTTTTTTTGTTTAAAAAAAAAAAAAATTCTTATGTATAACTTAAGCATTTCTTTGGAATTCCTTTTTGGCAATCCTTTGTTACTTGTGACAAAGAGTTTGTAATTGCATTGCATTTCATTACCAGAATTCAAGATTATCTTAGAGAACTAATATAATTATCCAAGTTCTTTTTCTGGAATGTTAATTTTTAAAAATCATGAAACAATATGTTCTAAGTATGGTTGAATTCATCACCCAGCTTCAATGGTTTACAACAGGTTTCATTATTTATTATTCTGAATTCATGAAAAGGTGCTTGGATACCTGTTTTGTAGGTTGTTTTCTTTATATTCTTATCCCTCATTGTTGCTTTGAAGGAATTCTCGTATAAGAGAGTTGAGCTTTGTTGAAAATGGAGAGTGACATTTATTAATGATATGACACCACTTAAAACAAGAGAGAGACTCAATTCCTGCTTGCCATGTAGTATTTTTTTTTTTTGGGGGGGGGGAAATAACAATACAGTGTATTAATTTGATAATTAAAAATAAAACTTGTATCAGTCGAAACTTGAAACATATGAAAGTCAAGATAATAGAAATTTTTATTATCTAATGGAACGTGGCAAATTGTACAAGTCAAAATGTGAATTAACAAAAATCTCACAGTTCATACAAATACTCTCCACCCACATGTTAAATGGGTACCCTGAAAGTTATTGTAGTTTGCTCAGCATTGTGAGCGTTTGTGTAATGGCCCTGGCTGGAACATTCCCCGGGGAGTAGAGAATATGCATAATTTATATTTTTAAATTATCATACAGTTCAATACAAATACTCTGTACTGTATCTCCAGGGGCAGAGACCTTCCCGATGGCTGTGAACCATTCAATCTACCGTGACAAATTGTCCTATCCGATTCACTCTATTTCACAACATCTTGCAAGATATGTGTAGGAGAGGAAAAAAAGAGAAACCTTGCAATCATGATGCAATCCATCATTAGGCATCCTTCAACAGAGTTCATTAATCATTAGTGATAAATGAAGAAATGAAATAGTACTTGTAGTATGTAAAGCCATGCATTCATTATCAGGTGTGCTATCAATCACTACCCTGGGACCCTCCAATCCATTCTGACCTTTACACTCTCTAGACCTTACTTTCCTCTCGATCAATACCTATGCAACTTATCAGCATTCCTGCATTTGAACTGAAGAAAAAAAAATCTGCAATGCAGATAAGTCACGTCTTCACTTCCAAGCTAGATATCGTCTGCTCTGAGCCAGAAGGGCATTGACTTCTTTCTTTCCATTTACTTAAGGGCCTATCTCATGAGCAGCGAATGCTTGCGAACGTTGCGAATTTGGATTCGCCAACTTTCTGACGAATGTTGGCGAAAATCAGCGACATAAAGTGACGTTAGCACAATTAGCAACATTTGAGCGAATGTCTCCGAAAGTGTTGCGAAAGGCAGTTGGCGACTACTCAAGGATCGATTTTATAAAGGAACCATATGGTAACGTTGTCGCTAACTTTGGCGAAACACGAGATCTGACGAAAACAAAGAGCAAAACCGTTTAACAACCGTTTGAAAGGCTTAGACTGTTTTGCAAACGCCTGCAACTGTTTGCGGAAAAATTCGCAAAGAAATTTTGAACATGTTCAAAATTCTTTGTTACAAGAAAAACTGTTTACAACAAAGAAAACTGTTTGCGATCTTCTTGCAACCTTTTACAACATTTTACAAAACTGGCGAAACCCCAAATTCGCTACGTTCGCAAGCATTCGCCGCTCAGTGAGATAGGCCCTTTAGAGTTAGCACCTTCTGGCTCTCGTGATGATCAATAAAATGTCACCTTTTTTGTAGCAAATGCCTTTGGGAGATTCACTATTGTTAAAATAAATGTTTTTTAATTTTCTTAATTGTGGGTTGGGTGTAAAGACTTTTTTTAAAGAATGAGAATTTTAATCTTCCAAGCTACCTTTAAATTTGTTTATATTTTTCTGTTTATGTATTAGACGGTTATTATTCCTTCTAATTTATTAATCCATATTTTGTTAAATTATTTAAAATGGCTAATTACTTTTAAACAAATATAAATGAAACAATTCAGATGGTCCTGACTCCCATATCAGTTATTTAAAAGAGAGTTTTGAAATGTCTGCATTCCTTTTCATATTTACCTTCCTAGTCAAAACCATAGATTACAGAAAAATTATAAATGAATTACAAATAAATTACGCACCGGTAGATGCCTTGATACAGAAATATCATATTTGAAATTGCAAGTACCGGTAGCTATATCCATGCTAATTATTGTTCACAAACTTTATGCAAAACGCTTATGCAATGTCTATTGGGATGGTTCATGGACCTTCATAGTAGGTCCATCGATGGATTATCATGTTGCAAATAATATGGACGGCAATGCAAGCCATGATATGCATGGAATAAAAAATGTTCTACCTCGCTCATTCCCCTCTCTAATAGGATAATCCTGATGAAGAGAAGGAAGTTGCAATCTACAATCAAGGCCAGTATTTTGGAGGTAAGCATCAACTGACTGTCTTGGATTTATCTATATCTTATTTTATCTTGTTAATCTTTGTATGCTTCTATTGCTTGACTTGTCTGCTGAATTATTCCCTTGATTAAAAAATAATGTGAGTGCACTATTTCTAGAACAGATTACATATAACTTGAATCGAAGCCATACAAGAATTAAATGACAGTCTCTTATGAAAGCAAGGCCGTTATGTAGTAATAAAAAAAACTTGTGCACCGTTATGAATTTGTCAGCTAAAGGAAAAACACAAGCCTAACCTAATTCCTACACTGTAACACTAAAATGTTGTATAATTACAAATTTAATAGCCCACATTCTAATAATTGTTATTCTATTACATGTCCATATACTTTTAACCGGGAAGTTAAATTGGTAAAATCGTTTTATGAATTTGGAACAATTTATCCACATCTGACTAAAATGTAAGACATTGTGTGAAAGAACAGTGTAAGGTGAGTGTAATGTACTTGTGGCTCACAATTACTGCTAACAAAAGGCCTGTCATAATTTTCAGATACTTATAGTGTAGGTTCAGTGGCGTACTATGGGGGGGGCAGGGGGGGCAGAGTGCCCCCCCTGACGGGCTCCAGGGAAAAAAAGAAAAAGGGAAAGAAAAGAAAAGAAAGGGAAAGGAGAGAAAAAGAAAAAAGGAAAAGGAAGAAAAAGGAAAGAAAGAGAAAAAGGAAAAAAAAGGAAAGAAAAAAAGGAAGAAGAGAAGAAGAGAAAGGAAGAAAAAGGGAAAGAAAAGGAAAGGAATAAAATGGGGAAAAGAAATAAAGAACATGGCCGTAAGCACCGGGGGGGGGGCAGTTGACCCCAGATATTGAAATCGTACAGTTTTTTTCCTGAAAATGTAGTGTAGGCCTATACCAAATCCTTCAATTCTACTTTTGAAAGTGCAAAAGTACCCTCATGACCAGTTCGGTCGCTCGAACTCCCTTCACTCCTTTGCTTTTGAGATTCTTCGAAAACTTTTAAGCATCTTTCCCCCTTTCCCCATCAGAAAAATATTTAGCATACGGCCCTGAAAATTAAAACAAATGAAAATAGGAAAATATAAGTGATATAACAAATTTGAAACTCTTCGCTGGCGCGAAACTGTGCTAGCCTATTTGTATAAATGTTTCACTTCCTCGTCCCCCTGAAAAGAGAAAAGGATTAGTATTGCCTAGATACAATTGTGCCTGCCCCGACGGGCCACACCTGCAACCATGCAACAATAACACACAATATAACACAGTATATATATTAATGAAATGTATACTAGAAAGAAGTAATTCAAATCACGCTCGCTACACTCGCGCGAATAAAATGAATAGACATTGCTTGGAAACAATTGTGCCCACCCTGACCTGCAACAATATCATAAAAATGGAGAGTTTTTCGCCCTCTCGCCAAAAAGGAATGAATCGCGTTAAACCGATTGCGTCCATCCTGACCTGCACCAATAAAAACAAGTATTAATTATATTAAAAGAGAGAATTTATTATTTTTGCTTGTCGCTATGCTCGCTTGCCAAAATGGACTAATCACCTTAGACATGATGTGTAAGCCCTGCCCTGCAACAAAAAAATCTGAAATTTATGAACCAATTATCATTACAAAAATTTTGCTCGCTCGCTACGCTCGCTCGCCAAAATAGAAATAACACAGCTTTTAATAATCACGTCCCTGACATGGAACAATTAAACCAAGTTTATATACCATATTTTCCCTAAAGAGAAGTGATTTTTTTTGCTCGCTCGCTACGCTCGCTCGCCAAAATAGAATAACACCGCTTTAATAATCACGTCCCTGACATGGAACAATGAACCCAAGTTTTATGTACCATATTTCCCTATAAAGAAAAGTGATTTTTTTTTTCGCTCGCTACGCTCGCTAGCTCGTGGAATTATGTGCCACCACTAACCTGCTACAATATCATTAAAAAGAGAAAGTAGGGGGTTCCTGCCCGCCAAAATGGGATTGACATTGCCTTAAACACGAGTGTGCCCGCCCCCTACCTGCAACAATCACCCTAAACACATATTGTTCCCTGCCTGCAATTGAAAAAAACCAAGTTTAAGTGGCAATTATTAAAAAAGAAGTGATTTTTTCTTGCTCGCTACAAGTTTGCAAAAAAATGAAATTAACGTTGCTAACAAGTGAATGTTCCCACCCCCAACTTGCAACAATACCAGTTTATATACCAAACGTTACTTAAAGATTTTTTTGCTCGCTCGCTCGCTCGCCATCCAGAAGTGAAAATTAGCATCGCTTTTTTGTTTGTTCGGTCGCTTGCCCCCCTGACGGAGACCCAAGGTACGCCACTCTAGGTAGGTCTTGATATAAATTTGTATAGGCGTGCCTTAAGGATCATCACACTGACCCATGCTGTTCTTTTGATAATACAGTGACATTATTTGTGAATTGTGAGTTGTAGATATATGGTATTTATCTTTTTTAAGTTGTGACTTGTTTTTCTGATTTATTTTATTCAAAGCCCTACTGTACTAATTGTAGCTACTTGTTCCCTCTATATAGAAAATAATGCCCAAGTGGTGACCGTTGGTCCCCCATGATCCTCTTTTCTTATGCTAATTGAGAGCTGAGTTGATGAGATGATCACCTGGGTGGTCTAATCCCTCCTGGCCAAACTAGTAGAGAGGGGCTTTAAAGACAGGCATGCTTGCACTCTTTCCCCATTTAAAAAAAAGAAAAGAAAAAAAGAAATTTGACAATGTTAAAGCTACTTCCCTTTGTGTAAATCTTTGGAGAGATAAATTTGAATTTGACATTAGGTCAGGTAAGGTGGATGTGTCTAAATTCTAGACCAATTATTATATGTGTCAAAGCCTCCATGAATTGATTGGCATGTACTCATTTCTCTTTCTTCATATCTTGGAAGTAATCTGACCAATAGTTTTAAATACACCATGTAGTGTCAGTATACTAACTTGTAAATTAATTTGATTACAGAGCTGGCATTGCTGACAACAAGCCTCGTGCTGCCTCTGTCTATGCTGTAGAAGAGTCCGATGTGCCTGTAAGTATCATACTCACTGATACAAAAGATATGTGTTCTCATAATAGTAATGGCTCAAAGTGAACTGGTTGGAACTATCCACCAACCCTTCCTCATCAACTGTCCTCTAGGAAAATTATCCTGGCTATTAATTAACCTGGCTATTAATTACCCTTTTACAATTACCCTTAAATATTTATATTTAAAAAAAAATTATGCTGTTGTGTAAGTAAAATCTATAGTTTTGTCATAAACATAAAGTCTGAGATTGATCTGAGTCACATATTTTTGTTATAATTTGCTTTTTACAAAATCTAATGTGCCATATTTGTGTATTATATAGAAGGAGTGTATTACATCTACCCTATTGTTTTTCTCTCTTTAACTGTAATTTCTTCCCCCTCTTTCTCTCCTTTGATGTACCTATAGTCCTGGACGTGAATGCATTTGAGCGGCTGTTGGGTCCATGCATGGACATCATGAAGAGGAACATTGAGCATTATGAGCAGGAGACATCAAGATTGTTTGGCAAATAACCCCTTCCCTCATACCCTTACATAGTCACCCCCTCCCCCTCCTCAACACTCCTCAACCATTCTTTCTGCTTCCCATACTTGCGGCACATTGGTCATTTTCACCGGCAGAGTTTAGACTGGCCGGCTGTTCTTGCATCTCAAGAATAGCTCACACAACGGTAACAGGCATTGGAGAATAATTTGAAAGCATACTGCCTGGCCATACAGAATAAGTAAACTACATTGATTCAATTTTATGGTTTAGAAAGGAAGATTTGATGAAGGTTGAAACAATGGTATGCAATTTTTGGTGAAATTGTTGGTTTTCATGCTAGATCATCAGCACCTGTCAGGGATATTTATCAGTGCATCTATACATTCTATGAATGATATTTCTATTCAAGGATACACAAAGGCTGTACATGATGTAGAGGTCAGCGGGTCGTATCTTGCCCTTCTGGACCGCCTTCAAATTGAAATCTTATCTCCAATGCCTCGGTAATTTTACAAGTGGTGTATGACTAGTATGGCAATGGCGTTATCATTCTCATTTTACTTTAGGCTACACCATTCTTGTATTAAACATGGAGTTCTAAAGCAGCTTAATACCCAATTCAGATTTTGTTATCAGTATTAGAAACCACACATGTAATCAGAAAAACAAAGATTGGTCTCTTCATAAATGGTTCCTTTGTTCATACTTTGGAGAAGCCAAATGGCAGAAATGACAATGGATTGGTTTTATATGTATAAATATATATAGAAATATATATATATGTATTTCAAGCAGGTTTTATTGTCGAATTTCATTTTGTCTAGAAGACGTCTCTTTCTGATTATTGAAATCATATGTTACATGGTTTTTGTGTTGATATAGAGGTATAAAAGAAGAATGCAAATTTGCTGTTAATAGTTTGTACATAAAATTATCAAAGAAGTTTTACATGAAAGGATGTATCTGTTTAATGAATTCAATGTTAGGATATTTTTGAATATCACATTTGATTATTTCACAAGAACCTTGTGAAAATTGGCTCAGCGATTTTAATGCAATTTTGAAGTATTTTCATACACACAGAAAGATGATTAATTGAAATGGTTGTTTTGTGGTACATCGTGTCTAAACATGTATTTGTTCTTGCTTACATTTTTGTCCAATGTGGTGAAATCTTCCAGGTTTTTTTGTTGAAATGTTGAAGCATTCATTAGATTTATTAGTTGATGAATAGAATGTATGATGTTACGGTAGAGAGAGTGTAACTTGTTCTTTTTTTTCTTAAACAGCTTAATTGCTCATGGACAAATATTGACCTGTAATGATGCATAGAGAAAAAAAAATTGAGCCAAAACCTTTCATATTGGATGCATATGTAAACAGGAAAATAATAGAGAGTGATATGTCTTTCTTTTCTTCTAAATTCAGTCTCCATATTTGCACAAATAAGGAGAGGAGACTTGGCATATTGTCTGATGAGAGCTAGGTAGGTGTTCATTCTTTATGTTCAAGTATACAAATTAATGCCCTCCTGTTCCCCCCTCCCCACCCAAACGTTATCCCTCTCCATCTTCAGGGAGATAAAGATGGAGTTCGAAATTAGATAGTGAGTGAAATAAAAAGTGAGAGAGGGAGAGAGAGAGAGAGATAGAGGATTATATGGGAAAGTGGAGTTATGTTGACTTTTATTGAGATGAAGAACCATATGCACAAACATAAATTATGGCTAGCACTTCCTGTTTTATGTAGAGAAATTTATTGAGAATGAAATAGAATATTAAAAGAAAACCACATATTTGAGTCAACATAATAATAATTATATGTCCGAACTTGCACATTGTATATGGTACAACGTATCTGTACAAAGAGCATAGGCAAATTTATTGATTACAAAACTTTTAGCTAGATATATTTAGATATTTATAAGATTAGAGAATTCATTTTATGATTGCTGTTGTTGTGTTGAACAATTATTTACTAATCACACATATCAACCTTGCCATGAATTGAATCTGGTTATTCAATCTGCCTCAACTTCTGTAACATTTGTTTTCTATGTGAGTGCTATTTTACAGGGTTCTATTGATTGGATCATATGGAAAATACTGATTTCTTTGTTCGAATCAGATTATTTTCCAATGGTGATGTATTCTGTGAAAAACTTGTACAAACTTTTAGGTACCGGTAGGCCTTGTCATTGTTATCCTCATTTTAGAATCTTCTAGACTAACAATTGATTAGATACGCAAAAGGGTTTAGAGGAATATAACATATTTTCTTTCATGACTTCAGAGAATTCTTTCTTGAATAATTGTGACACTTTATAGAGATCAAGTAACAGACGTTAAAACCCATGTTTTAAAGTCATGTACCTGAAGAACATTCCATCTTGCCAGAAGTTAAATGTTCTTTCAGAATTAATGATGATTGATTAAGCAGTAATACTTGGTTTGTGCTTTTCCATTATACAATTGATAGTACCTCTATTGTTGACACATGTCAAGTCAGCACAGAATATGTGCTTGTACACCATTTCCTTTCCCAGGAGTATGTTTATATGCATTAGGTAGGGCACTGTTGAAATCATTTACAAAATCGTTTTATATCCTTCCTGGTTTCAATTGGCACATGGAATATATATTATTGCCTAGGCAGAGCATAGTAATGTCATGACTAGGATTTGACCTGTGGATCCTTAGCCCACAACACCTCCATGAATAAGAAGGTAGATTGTTATTATGAAATCTTTCTAAATTTAAGGAATTTGTGGCAAAATCCTTGGCTTCCTTCCTTTTCTGTTTAAAAGGCCATTGTTTAACAAACGTTTCTTTTGGAAAGTTAATTGTTGTAAAGTACACGTACCTCAAATTATTTCTAAAGGATATGCTGCTGATTGGCATTAATAGACATCATTTTCTTGTTCGGTCTTAAAGCACGTGCATGTTACAAGGAGTGGAAAATGGAACATGTCTTTAAACAACATTGTGGCTGTCATTTCATGTTGTCATTCTTAACAATTACTGTATGTTAAAAACTTTGTGTATATTTTAGCACATTTAAATATAAGGAATTTAAAAGTGACATTTTGTTGTTTACATTTGGGTAAGTACAGAGTGTGCTGTATAGGCCAATTACCATGACATCTTGTTCATGATTATTTCATTGTTGAAAATCTTATTTTGGAAAAGGTTGGTTTTGTATTTGTTCTTGACAGCATCGTTGTCTTGTCAAAATGTGTTAGTCATTTCCAAAATAAAAATGAGAATCTTAAAAAAAAAAAAAGGATGACTAAATGTGTTGAGTTATTCATTTTGAGGTCGTGTCAATGTAGCTTTTGTAAGGTACTGATTTAAATTTTGAAGGGGAGAAAATAATTGAATTTTGCGTAAATGAATATGCATTTCATATGGGAACGTTTAAATATTTTCAGCGGTCTGTTTTGCAAACGCATTTATACAAAAATTCCAGTATTTTAAAAATTTTTTTGTAAATAAGAGATTTTATGAAGTAAATAAGATGAGAAGGGTTGAAGTGAAGAGGAATCTGTTTACGCAAAGGAGACTTGAGGGGGCACCAGTCATGTTAAAAAGCTTTATACCAGAGAATCTGGCATGTGGAATGAATAAATTGAAAAGCATTTGGTATTATGGTATAAATAGTCTGATAAAAGGAAAGAGAAGTGGATGGCTAGGGTGTGGCTAGTGGTATCCAGAGAGGAAAATAAAGAGGGGATGAAGAGAGAGAGAGATAGCTGGTGGGGGTGATGAGGAATTACATTCAATAAACTTGATGTGAACTCTTTTCTCAATTCTCAAAAATTTGAAATTAAATCTTGTATTATGAAGTTGGTCATTAGGTCAACAACCCTTGTCATTCAAAGGAAATGGTGACATAATTAAACTTCATATAAAAGAATAACAAGAAATTGAACACCCGTGTCACCTTGGTCAGAATGAGAAAAAACCACTCCAATGCTAATTTGTCCTAGATCGAAGTTCAAATATCTACCGTTTTTGCAGGCTCACTTTCTCCTCCTCTTCATCTCCTTATCAATTTCATTGTTAGATATTTTTTTAAATTTCCGTCTCCCTCTCTCTAAATCTATTTCCTCTCCATCTCCCTCTCATCCCCCACCTCCGTGTCTGTCACCTCTCATTCCGTCTCGGTCAATTTCTCAGTTCTGTTATTGTCTTTCTCTTTATCACCGTCCATCTCTGCCCCCCTCTCTCTCTCCCACTCAAACTTTTTTTTGTTTCCACCACTCTTTATTTCCTGTCCATCTCTTTCTCTGTCTCTGTCTCTGTCTACTCCTTTTACAAGACATTGTAACTTCATTTAATTTTGGACACTTTACCGGTAACTACTGGAATAAAATCAATATATCAATTTGAAGGCTGTCATTTTATAAAAGGTGCAGCCATATTAGCATTTTGAACTGTATGAATTCACAAAGTGGCAGCAGGCTATCAAATTACTTCATCTTAATGTGTCTGAAACAGAAAAGATGGAGTGGGACTGTTGAGCATGTTGAATATCATTTCTACATTTGGACAGCTGCTGTACTTCAATAAGAATTTCATGGTTGAACTTGAAGGTAATTTGCAAAAAAGAATAGTGGTCTTCTTTCTCATGAAGTTTTTTAAATCATCTGATACAGTGATTGTATGACAATAGTTGAAGAAAAAAAAACTAAATGTGAACACAAAGGACAATCTCAGGAAACCATTAGGCTGAATTCTTTCGCCCTTCTTAATCTCACCAATTTCTTCATACTCTCTACTCCAATTTCCCCATTTCTACAATAAACAAATTTCAAATAACTTCAAGTAAATGCTCTTATATCAAGAGGATCCAATTCATTTAATGAAAAAGGAATTTACAGGAAAAGGAAAAAAAAGAAAAGCACAGTAGAACAGCAAGCACGTTCTGCTCTTACTGGAAAACATGTATACATTGCATACATGAAACTCAAATACATTGAGGAAGATGTTGACACTGAAATATTGTCTCCCAAGAGCCATAAGGCCATCGACTCCACATGACATTAATGCCCTTTTGGATCTCAACAGATCATGTAATCATAACACAAGGAATAATCACCATCTGGAATGGTAAGAGGTCTATCAAAGACATTTCCATGGAAAGATCATCTTGGATTTCAAAGTTATTCCCCATTTCGGAGGCATTGGCTGTACACTCAAAATATAGAATAGCATCAATTGAACTTTCAAGGTAAACAATTTTCTTGTTTTCCTTAAAAGGCTTTAACAACATTGTTATGCCATAAAAATCATATTGCACTTGTGTAATATATAAGAATTCAGAAAAACATGCACCACATACTAATTCCTGTCACATCAAGGAAAATAAAGGTTTACACAAATTCCTGAAAAATTTAGGACATACAAATTCAAACTAAAAATGTAAAACATAAAAAAAAAAAAAATCTTTGAAGGGATATTCCATCAAAATAAATGATCAGCTCACAAATCCTGCAATAAGTTGCCATGAAAGGTGTAACAAATTTTTTTTTTCTGCATAGAAAGTCTTCATTTTTTTGTCATATACATATGAACTTATATCAAGCAAACATTTTTAACATAGCTCAGACCTTGTATCATATGTTCAAGTCTATTTCCTGGTGGGATATTTTGTTTCTCCACACTGATCTATTGATACTCTCAATCAAAATTAAAAGTTTATGTAAAACTTAAGGCTAACCGCATCTAAAGATCGTAAAAGATTGTCTGATGAAATAAATAATGTGTGTCATAACCCCACATTTCTTTGAACGATATTATGTAGTTCCAAAATTAAATCTTTTTTCGGAGGGGGGGGGGGGGGGGGGGGGGGGGTGTCATTTGTCCCAAGGAAAAAGTTTGATTGAGAAATGTAGTGACCCTTGGTAAACCAAATGAATGAAATGGATTGACTCACAAGATTTTGTTTGCATTGAAGGGAATCCCCCAGATTTAGGGGAGAAGTGCCGTTACCAGGCAAAACACTAAGGGAAAGCCATTACCTCTAAAATAGCACTGTAACTGGCAAATTAAAGTTTGTGTATTAACAAAATTTAAAAAAAACTTTTAAAAACTTTCAATTCATACTCTGATGATATTGTCAAGTAATAATCACAAAACTGAATTCATTATTGCTGTTTGCATTATACTGTAGTTAAATATAAGTATGTCAAAATGGAGGATTCATTTTTTCATCCAGCCAATATTCAGGAAAATATCGTGGGATACACCTTTGTATTGAAATTATGGCCTTTAATCATATGGATATTTCATTACATTGGATAGAGAAATCAATATTAAAAATGAATACCAAAATATTAAAAGGAAAAAAATAAGGAATAAAATATTCTCTACTTTTTAATTTAAAAAAGTATATATTAAACTGTCTGCTATGGCAAAAGAAAAAAAAAATCAAATATGAACTATTCATCATTTGATGGGTGGAATGAATGGTTCATGAGGTTTCAGTTTACGCTTAGTCTGAGGTACCACCCCATCAGGATCGGTACTGGCTACGTTGACTTGCTGTGCAACGATATGATCCCCTATGGTTTCAATGCTCTCCTCATAGGCAACCATGTCAAGGTTGGGGGCAAAGGTCATATTCATACCAAGGTCAGGAAGTGAACCTATGGTCAGCAAGTTATCTGTAGACACGTTCTCTGCCACCACAGGGATGGTTGGCGCCCTCACGGGTGCTTGTACTACAGGTGATTGTGCTACCGTTGGAGTCGCGTCTGGAGATTTGGGTCCAGTGATATTAGTTCTCTCAAGAAAAGAAGAAGTTTGTAATGATTTGCCACTTGGAATAGAATTTCCTTGATGTGATAAATGGATAGAGGACAATCCATGCTGTACTGATGGGTTTGTATTGACTACCGGTCTCATCTCAGGTACTGGTCTACTTACTCCAGGAGATGTTGCTGATGCTGCTGATGTTGATGGCTGCGAGGGAATGAACACTATCTTTCCATCCATAATCTTTGCCATGGTTACATTCTTTGACTGTTTGGAGGGCTGTGTTTCTCCTGTGGATAAAACTGTTCTAATCTTCTGATTTTGGGGCGAGCCGCTTTGGTAAGGTGAAGACACATTTGTGAGGGCTGTCAGAGTTCTAGCAGGACTCTGCACCTGATATGGACTTGCCTTAGACGAAAGGGCATGACCAGCAGGCATCTGGGCTGGTCTCGCTTTGGGTAAAGTATGCACGACCCCACCCGCTCCTAATCTGGCATCACCAGTTTCTACTTGAGCACCTGAAGATCCGGGAAGGGAAACATTGTCGCTTGATGTCAGGTTGACCTGAACTAACGTTTGCTTACCATCTGGTGTTGTGATCATGAGGGTCACTTTCTTAACAGAAGGATCGCTGATACTTTCAGGGGAACTGAACCCACCCACTGCCAGCTGGCTGCTGCTGGATGGTCCTGCAGAAGGACTGTTCCTCTGGAACACCCTCATAGGCTGAAGATTACTGGTGAGTCCTGCATGCTCAACGCTCTCAATGTCATCGTTTCCAATCTCACTTCCTACTTCACTCATCATCTCTGATGTCATGTCACTCCTACCATCCTCTGATTCCTCCTCTGGATCTATCCCAACCTCGTTCCTAGCCAACCTCTTCAGGGTCATGGTGGCTTCATGCTCATCCTGTAACCGCTGAATACGATGTTTAGCATAGTCGTCGAAGACCTTGAGAGCATTTGGATTCTGACTCGGAGATGCCCTAGTCCTTTTGCGATTCAGTTTGGGCGGAATCTGAATGGTGTATGAGGTCCGCATCTTGGGCTGACGCCCTGATTTTGTTGTGCTAAGAATATTTGCCAGGTTTGGTTGTTCCTCTGTTTCATCCACTTCAGCCACTTCTGGACTTTGTTCATCAACGTCTTCTGCGATATCATCGAGACCAACTTGACCTGTTGAGAAAACAAGAAAATGCATGTTCAATTCATCTTGTGATCTTTCAATGAATTTTAGCAAGTAATTCATTCTAACATCCTGCTATTAATTTGAGATATCAAGTATATTACTTGAAGTCAGGAAATTAAGAATATATGTGAACACTACAAGAACCATAAGCAATATGTCATAAAATAATCTAAACAATCTTTCTTAATCATACATATTTGTACATATGTAATAATTATTAGGTAAATTATTACATTTGAACAAAATTATAAGGAGGGGTGTGGACAAGATATTTTGGAAACAGTGTAGGTTCTCTTAAGATCAGATTGTTATAAGGTGGAGGGGAAGGGATCTACTTTGGAGCCATTTCTGACGCTGACTTTTACTTCTGGGTTTCAGAACTTAAATGGAGGTACTGGAAATGCAACTAACCATTCTTCTTTCGAGAATTTTTCTTATTGCTCTTGCCTGCATCCACCACAGACTCCCCATCAGAATCATCTGAAGGTGGATCAAAGAGAGACATATCCAACTCCTGACGATTCACTGCAAGAAATCAAACAAAATGAAAATAATAAGTACAACTGATTGATATTCAGTGCTTTTCCAGTTACAAGTAACTGAAGTGCTCTTTTACAGAGGATTCACTGAATCTAATTACGATTCTGCACTTACAGAATACCATACACCAATTCACAGGTGTGTAGGTGCTAATCCAACCACAATAATATTCACATCCGACAGGGAACCCATTTAACACTTGGACGGAGAGAATCCATATAGATAAAATGCCTTGCTAAAGGACATAGCAAAATGCAAACATGGTTATGATACTTTCAAGTGATGCTCTCATGGACGACTACCTACCCAATGCCAGGTCGACCTTCTTGCGGTTTTGCCGCTCCTCTTTCTTAAACTTGCGTTTGATCTCTGCTCTTGTTCTACTGGGGAACATGGCATTGATGGTGGTGAAGTCAGTCCCAACTGCACTCAGAGCTATGTAGAATCTTCTGGTATCTGATCAATCAAGATAAGGGATAGGGATAGCAAAGGAATTTCAATTCATTTTGAGATCTATCAATGGAACTGCAGTTCAAAGAGAAAATGTTTACAAGACATTATGACTATTAATCATGCAGTTAACATAGTCTGGACCAGCAGAATATACAAAATCCTAAATAAACTTGCTAGATGTTGTTGTTGTTGGTATAATGACGCTCGTCCACTGATGATTGGATGACATTCACAAAAATCATATTCAATAAAATCAACCAACACACACACATACACAGATGGGACTAAACTACATTTCCTCTTGGTCAAGATAACGGCTTAATTTTCACATCATTCCAATCTATCACTACTTTTACATCCCTGAGAATACAAATAGAAAATCAACACTTGGATGGGTCAGTGACACAAAGACGTAACTCCATTTTGACCATTTTGAGAAAAAGTGGTTTGTGTGTCACTGAGCAATTGGGCCCTAAGGAGTTAAGTCTATGTTTCACTAGCCATTGAATTCAATGGGGTGTTGGGTGGAGTTAAGTCTGTGTGTTTCCTGGAAAGCCCACATTTTTCTGAACAATTTGATGACAAATATTCATTTTGGAAAAATATGGAGATACGTCTTTGTGTCACTGAACACTCAACTTACCTTTTTCTGTCCAGGTAGCAGTGCGTTTTCGAGTGACAAAGCTGGAGTATGTAGTGTGGGAGGAATCTTCATGGACAACCTCACTGTCTGCAAGGTCAAAGGTCTTAGCGGGCGAGGCTTCGACGTACAAGCTCTTCTGATCGATGATGATCTCACCGTCTGGTCCTATCTTGACCTGGGGTGCCATGGTGGTGGTGGATGAGGTATCATCATCAGCATCTTCCTCGACTTGCTCTTCATCACTAAAGAGAAATTAGACATACAAGGGGGCGTTTCACAAAGATCCTAAGAAGAAGTTAACTCCAAGTTGGACTTAAAAATTATGGAGAGCCATTTGTAACCTTAAAATAAAATATATTCAAAAGCGAAAATTCAACATGAAGAACATGAAATCTCCTTGATAATAAGAAATTATAAATCAACATTTTATGCCTTTTAAAATAACTTTAAAAAAAATATTTTCAAAGATGCTAACAGCTATCCATAATGGTTAAGTCCAATTTAGAGATAAGTTCAACTTAGGATCTTTGTGAAACACTACCCTGGTCATAGAAGGGGTAGACAAATAAGTCTACATGTTCAGATCAAACAATATATGTTATAAAGTTGTAGTTAGTGATTAGTGATTAGACCAGTTTTGTAAAGGATTACAAAGCTCACTATTCAAATTATTTACAACATGGCAGGATTTATTAGCACTTGTTCTACCTAGATTTCTTAATTAGACTTACACCTCCTTCAGGTGGTACACCACTGCGTTTTACCAGCCAATGTAAACAAATTGTCTGAATGAGCTTTTAGGGAGTTTGGACCCTTGTTTACTTTTTTAAGTTTGAATGTCCATGTGCAGTGGGCTCCTGTTAGTGCAGTACTACACTGCTGTAGAGCCATGCATCTGACCCAACACTGTTCCATGTATCAAAATAATGTAATCATAATATCCAGGAACGTGAACAGCGATTTCATATCTAGTTGACTGATACAGGCATAACATTCCTAGTCAATCTGTTTGTAGTCTAGTGGTAGGAAGAAATTTCTAGAATGCTTCGAGCACCGCATCATCGTAGCTCAGCTAAAAGCTGGGGGTCATAAATTAGTGCTGTGTATCCTTCAAAAAAAGTGTATTATAAACTGAAATATCATTATTAAATCTGTAATTTAAAGCATACATCAGGTCTAAATGACATGAATGCAATTTGATGTACTTACGTTGAAAAGGTGACTTTCTTTTTCTGGATATTCTCTGTCTTTGCTTTCTTGTTCTGTTTCTCTGCTTCAGTAATCCTGAAAAATACAGAATGACATGACAGCTTAATAATCATTGTCTCTAGTATGACAGTTACTCTATGAGCATTTGAAACCACTACATATAGCATCACCAATGAAGAAGAAAAAAAATAAAATTACTCATTAGGTTAACCGTACTTCGGTATCAAAACATTACTTATTTCATAATTTTACAAACATTAATGTTCAGAGTATTCTTTCCAAAGTAAAACAACTTTATGCATTGTACAGATTGAAAGATAAATTTTATACAGAAACAAACACCTAAAGTTCACAATTCAAATCTGGATGTATATCGATGACATAAATTCATAAAATCAGAATAACATGAGGGGTTAAACACAAGTGAGCCATTATGTTTTAGACATACCGTAATTTGTTTTAATGAATATATTATACTGATTTATCAATCTCTGAGCATTTGCACAAATCTAGCTTATTCATTATCTTCAAGGGATATTGATGTGTTCCCATAAGAAACCTTTATCATCAGACATATACTTATTTTCTATATAGGATTGCATGGAAAGAACCTCTTATTCATACAATGTGCGATATTAAATTCAAAATTTCTACCGTAATCATGAGTGTTCTTACTTCATGCGATTTGTCCTTGGATTGTAGTAGATCAAATCTCCCATGGTCATTTTAGTTCGGTCAGGGCTGTCGCTCCTTGCATGGCGTTTTCTTCTCTTAGAGGGAGTCTGAAGGAGCAAAGAGCAGAAGTATATAATGAGCATATAGGTGCATTTTATTACTATTCCCATTTTAGATGACATCCATATGTGTAGAGTTAACTAAATTTAAAAATAATTTAATATCAAATGTGAACTAGAAATATTGCAATCTGTATTGCCGCGCAATGCGAATGTATCCCCCGGCAGTGGCAGCGATTTTGTGTTATCCTTATGTGGAAGGAGGGACAAAGATTCCCTCTCCTCTTTGTGAAACAAAAGGATGACGTAGAGATTGCCGCAAGTGGCTCAGACTATTGTCAAGACTAGGAGCAGCATCACCAAAACAATAGGTGTGTAGATCAGATTATGATGCATATTTATAGAAAATTTGAAAGAAATGTGATTTGCATAGCGACACAAGATATTCCTTTAAATATGACCTTTGACCCTATAAGAGATGGAATACTGGGGGGTAGCAGCACCAAATTTGTGGAGGTCTAGAGTAAACTATAATGAAATACAAGCAGCATCACTAAAATCTATAGGCTTGTAGATTATACCAAGATACACCTTTGTTCAAAATTTGAACAAAATCCTTTAGAAATGTGGCCTATAGAGCGCACACAAACAAAAATATGGCCTTGTACCCTATAGAAGGCGGAACACTGGGGGCAGCATCACCAAAAGTTATAGGTATGTAGATTATACCAGGATACACCTCCATACAAAATTTGAAAGAAATCCGTCAAGAAATGTGGCAGTTAGAGCGCACACTAGAGTGCACACAAGACATCTATCAAAATATGACCTTTGACCCTATAAAAGACGGAACATAGGAGGCAGCATCACTAAAATCTATAGGCTTGTAGACTATACCAAGATACACCTTCGTTCAAAATTTGAACAAAATCCCTTTAAAAATGTGGCCTATAGAGCACACACAAACCATCCACAAAAATATGGCCTTGTACCCTATAGAAGACGGAACACTGGGGGCAGCATCACCAAAAGTTATAGGTATGTAGATTATACCAGGATACACCTCCATACAAAATTTGAAAGAAATCCGTCAAGAAATGTGGCAGTAAGAGCGCACACTAGAGTGCACACAAGACATCTATCAAAATATGACCTTTGACCCTATAAAAGACGGAACATTGGAGGCAGCATCACTAAAATCTATAGGCTTGTAGATTATACCAAGATACACCTTCGTTCAAAATTTGAACAAAATCCCTTTAAAAATATGGCCTATAGAGCGCACACAAACCATCCACAGAAATATGGCCTTGTACCCTATAGAAGACGGAACACTGGGGGCAGCATCACCAAAAGTTATAGGTATGTAGATTATACCAGGATACACCTCCATACAAAATTTGAAAGATGACCATCAAGAAATGTGGCAGTAAGAGCGCACACAAGAATATGACGCGGCGGACGCGGCGGCGGCGGCGGCGGCGGCGGCGTAACGCTGCTGAATCCAAAGTACCCCACCGGCATACTGCCGGGGGATACAATAAAGATGATGACTATACCACTTACATCATTGGACCCCTTGCTTTATTAGGCCAAGAGCATCTTAGGTCAAAATAGGCTTAAACTTGGACATTTCTCATAACAAGCTGATTTTTTTTCAGGACAGGTCCAGGAATATGTCTAAAATAACATACTAAAAGTCCTCATAAATTCTCCTTGAGCGTTTTCCGCTGAACTAGATAACCCAAATACAAAATTTAAATGTCTAAATATACATTTTTAAGCATAAGGAACTCAATAAAATACATGTTGATACATTTTGAAACACACAAGTAGCTGTAAACCACTTTAGCCCTACCCGAAATAAAAAATGGCGCCTAAATCTGCCGCCATTTCCTGAATTTCTGACAACTTTGCAACTAAATAACCCAAATACCAAATTTAAATGAAGAACAACCAGTGGGCCCTGGCTCAGATGATCATTCCCTGGCTGGTTATTTTGTATATGATATTGCTTTGAGGGACCTAACTTTTACAAGCTAAGCTTTTCCTAAGGTCTCCTTGTCTTTCTATTTCACTAAAATGCAATATATGAACTTGTTCCTTATAATTGTTCCTTTTCATGTACTCATGTAACAATGTAACAATTTTGTTAAATTGTATTACATTCATGTTGGAAGAAAGACAAAATAAACTTGAACTTGAACTTACATCGTCATCCATTTGGTCTTTCAGTTCTTTCAACTTCTTGCTGTACACATTAGCCTGATGAGCACTCTTTTTGCCATCACCCTCAGTCACCTTGCTATCTCCTGAGGCTTGTACTTCTGATGTTGTTTTAGTCAATGCTATAGGGACGACGTCAAGGCTCTTGGCAGCTGTCTTTTTCTGTACATCTGGTCCCATTAATGTGATTGCTGGACTTATGGCACCATCTTTATGAATGGAAAAATACATTTATAAAGATATAAAAATCCTTTCATACAAAACTAGATGGAACTTCGACTGCGCGCAGTCGAAAATGATGCCACTGCCATAGAGCAATATTACAAACCAAAACAGAAACAATTTTAAAAATTCAAGTTTGATTGTAATCCATCCGTCGGTTCTAATGATAATGCATGCACAAGCTATTTATAGGCATACATAATGAGCCATGTGACCTTTGACCTTTGACCTGGTGACCCCAAAATCTAATCAGTTCATTGGCTCTGCAAGATACATACATGACCTGAGTTTGGCAGGAATCCATCAATCGGTTCTTGAGATAATGCGATCACAAGCTATTTTGGTATACAAAATGAGCCCTGTGACCTTTGACCTTCGACCTTGTGACCCCAAAATCTACTCAGTTCATTGGCTCTGCAAGATACATACATGACCTGAGTTTGGCAGGAATCCATCAATCGGTTCTTGAGATAATGCGATCACAAGCTATTTTTGCATACATAATGAGCCCTGTGACCTTTGACCTTCGACTCTATTCAGTTCATTGGCTGTATAAGATACATACACGACTTAAGTTTGGAAGGAATCCATCAATCGATACTTGAGATAAGGCGATCACGAGCCATTTTCACATATATAATGAGCCCTGTGACCTTTGACCTTGGAACTCGTGACCCCAAAATCTAATCAGTTCATTGGCTCTGCGAGATACATACATGATCTAAGTTTGGTGGGAATTAACCGATCGGTTCTTGAGATAACGTGATCATGAGAACGGGACGTACGGATGGACGGATGGATTGACAACCCGAAAAACATAATGGAGGCATAAAAATAAATGCTTTGAAATAATGTGCTACAAAGGGAATGTGAAATATTAAAATATCTCAATATTTAGTCACTTGTGGATTTAATATCCTTTTAATCCATTCCTTTACTTCTTTGACTTCTACATAATTGGTACATACCGTACTACCCCACAAACATCTATTATCACAGCTTGAATGTGATTTTTTTTTTAAACACACAGTTGATCGCTACAGTTGAACTTTATCACACATACACTACAATGGAATTTACACTTAAAACAATGTGGTAGTCTTGGGGATGTGATCCATAGGGAGAAAAAGAAGAGTATAAACCCACCTTTTTTATTGGTTGTTGGTACAGAGAGCACCCTTTGAACAGGTGGAGGTCTCATGACAGCTTGTTCATTCTCCTTCTGCTCTTGGTGACTGGTCAACTCTGTAGATGCCCTAGCAGCTGTGGTGGCCTCTGCCCTTTGGCCCGAGGGTCGTAACCTCGGCTGACCCAGGTTGGGAACGGTTGAAAACCTCTTCCTCCTGGTGGCCGATGGACCCAGCTTGGTGCCAGTCTCCTGTACTCCTGAAGGAACCGATGACATGGCATTGGATACGCAAGTTGACTGCTCATCAGTGTCTTTTGGATCACTGGCAGGTTGGGGAGCACTGTACTGTTGTTTTGTTGTATCCTTCAATGGCACAGAAGTAGGTTCTGGGGCAACTTCAGGGATGAGACTTGAAAACTGTATCGGAACAAATAACAATAATTTGATTTTTTTTCTTTCTTCAAACTGACAGTAATTATTTCATGGCTAGATAACAAGATGGCCCCCTAGAGACCATGGGCCCCGTTTCTCGAAACCAACCACAAGACAGTCATAACTTTATTCGCCAACAACTATGATGTCTCTGATCTTCCTTAACTGTTTCATGAAGAGCTTACTAGCTAGACATCTCGTGAAATCGATACTATCGGGGAGAAGAGGAGCTAAGACATAGCCTTTGTCGCAATTTACCGTAATAAAAAAAAAAGTAATTTTAGAAAAACTGCAATTATATAAATGAATTAGGAATAGAAAAAGATTGAAAATAGTACAAGGTAATAAGAGATGCAAAATACTTCAAAATTTGTGTACCGGTAGATATACCATAGAATTACTTGTAAAATACAATTATGAGTATTTCATTTCATGACCGGTGAATCAGTTTTGTTTTTTAAATTAGTACCCATGGATATTTCCATTTATAAAAATACATCATTACATTATTCTTAGTAAAACATGATGCTATGAAAGTTTTGTCCAATGTTTTATGCTTCATCCAAATATCAAAATGACAAAAACTTCAACATTCTAAACACCAAAACATATGTTTTAAACTATTCAGTTTACACATTCGGAGATGGGTCTGAAAACTAGAGAATACCGGTATGCTTCTGACTATAGCTTGCCTGCCGTGACAGATTACCCATCCCTTTAAGGATTTTAGAATGTGGAAATCAATGTTTATGATCAGTTTAGTTAAGTGGAATAAGTTGTTGATATAAACATGGCATATTTCCATAAATTATCAAATATAAAAAAGGATACCTCCCTGTTTAAGCGAATGTGTAGAAAATTAGCAACTGGAGAATTTCTTGTCCTTTTTTCCAGCCATAGTCTACCCAATAAATGACATGTGATGGCGCTGCCCATCGACTGAAGAAGTTATGACAAAGATATGACAGGGTCGGAGTCGTCATAACTCCTTAGTTAGGATGGTGTCCTTGATCTTGGCAAAGAGGGCTTCGTGCGACACGTAGCGGACAAGTAGCTTACTGAAGCTGATTAAGTGTAGAAGTTAGATTTATCACGTTTTTGAGAAACGGGCCCCAGACTTATAAATTTAATACAACGGACTGATTTCCTTTATCAGCGTCTATTATATTATTTTACTGACTTAACAAAAAATGTCATGGTTATGTCATATCATGTTAACTTTTAATATGTGGATGTCATGTGCAGGTTTTGTATCTCTTTATACATACATGCATGACACTTATAGATTTTTTTTAAAAACCCCAAATGTACCTCTTTCTTCAAGGCAGCATCTGTCCTTTCAGACTGGCTAGATCTTCTTTCCCTTGTTGGCTTCTGGAGTTCACCTGCACGTTCCTGGGTTGGTTTAGGGGCAACATCCTGACCCTGTGTGGTGTTTGGTGTTGTGGGTGTTCCTGCGTTACCTTTATCCTTAGACTGGGAAGGTGTGGACACCGACCGTCTGGATGCCAAGTTGATACTTGGCTTTATCTTTGATCTTCTCATGTTGTGCTACATTTATCTGTGATAAGCCAATAAAGAGAGGATTTGATTACTTTACTCTTTAGTTTAGAAAGTGTAAGGAAACCTTCAAAATATACCAACAATCTTGGGACAATCAGTAGGGGCCAAAAAATAAGGATCATCCGCATTTTCACAGACGTCTTTTTTCTTTGGCACTTAATTTGCGGGTGTAGAGTTACCGATCCGCGCGCTGTTAATGAGAAAAATGCATTCCGCGTAAACGAGGATATCCTCGTAAACGCGGCTTGGAAATCAGAATCGTCAGCGAAAAAAGCAGACAATCCTTATTTTTGCGGACACGTGCGTCTGTTCGCGTTTACGAAAACGATCCTCGTTTCTACGGACGATCCTATTCTCGTACCAGCGCTCCTAGATCTATAGGGTCTAGTAATAGAGTCTCAGGCTCGACTGCCACGCTGCACTGGTGAATGACGCTCAGTCTCAGTCAGTTTCTTGCTTAAAAAGTTAAAGCAATGCCAATGGTAATGTGCAGAGTGCAATAATCCCTGGACAGCTGATGCATTTCAAATATGAAATATCTTCTTTTTTTTTTAACATTCTCGAGTTAGACAGTCCACCAAAATACCTACCGTAGTCCCACTGGTTCAACTTCATGTTTAAGTTAAGCAAAACCACCAAACCATCTCCTTCACAATTTAAATCGACTCCGATTTTTATGCTTTTTTACCATTTATTTGTATGGTAAAATATTATGAAATGAAAACAACGATAATCACAAATCAAAATAAAAAGCTTATGATTGACTCATTAAAATTTACCTCATGAATTTGTCATATAAACTTACCGTCTGTCGTTAATTTAATTTGCTCTGCATTTGACACTTCTCTCGAGCTCGAGCTATTGATGCTATGCATGCTAGCTGGCGCACGCCGCGGTAGCATATCGCATGCAAGGCTACCACGTACCACAGTACATCTCGATCTCGCGCAATGTATTGCAATCCAATACAATAGTGGAATGTCTCCCTCTTGAGTTCCCTAAAGAGAAAAGAAACATACACGTAGAAAAATCAAGTTCACTTTTGGGAAACATTATTGATGCATTAATGGATCATAAGTCTGGGGGAATGGAATGGACAGTACTCACCCAATAAGTTGGGACTTAATACTATTGTCAGTGCAGTGGATGGGGGTGGGGGGCAGGCTCAGGTCATTAGAAAGGGAGAGCTTGTTAAAGTGGGTTACGTTCGATCCCTTGCCTTCTCTTTCCATTTTCTATCTTTGTATTGTTAACCTGTGATTAAGCGAATGCAGTAGCATTAGCATTAGCTTTAAAAGCATGTTGAATTTATATTTCTATTAACGACCTGCCAGATCAGTAATTCTGTATATCTTTCTTTCCTTTTTCAATCCAACTCTAACATATCTCCACAATCTCTTCTCCTCTTTTCCTTGCGTTTATATCGTTATATCTGCTCTCAAAAATCAATACGTCAAAATCACACACCATGCAACATTCAACAACAAGTTACATAAGCAAATTGCAACATCTAATTTCTTCTTTTCTTTTAATGAGTGAAATTTATACTTATTTTAATGAATAATATATTCTATTCAATTGCACATCAGTGATGCAAGATTTATTCAAACACAGTATCACATTTTTCAATTAGCAAAGAACTATCAAACTGTCATATCAAGTACATTGATATAAACTTGAAACATAAAGATGGATTCTATCTTACATTGATAACAAACAAGATACAGTAAGAATGATATGCACAAATGTTGACTACTTGATGAAATAATGTACATGTATCATTAATATTTAGAATATACCAGTAATTTTTTGTTAATGTAAGTGATCAGAACCCACTGATCAAAATTTAAAGAACCAAGCTCTGAGCAACACTTGACACTCTACCAGAGCTCCCCTGCCCTTAATTCTCAGGGCTCTTTTTCCCCGTGAAATGTGTAAATCGTAAAAACTGAACAATTTTCTCAAATTTTGTGACACATCCATCACTTAGTACCACAGTCAATCCAAAAGAATCATGTCAATTTCTTTCTCCTCTTATTCTCTTTTAGTATTGCATTGATTAATGTTTAAGTTGAAGATAAGAAACAATAACAACTGTACAGAAGGAAAAAAATATATAAATGATTCAGTATATGCCATTTTGAACACTGTCACATTTATCTTTGGTATGCTAACTACTTTTAAACAATCAAATAGCTTTCAACAATTGTTTACTAACTTTCATTCTCTAAATTGAATGTCTGAAATGTTTCTTTATAAAAAATGAGTTTACTAATGAAATACACAACATTTATGAAAAGGAAAAGTATGATTTGGGACATCTTTAACAACAGCAAAAACACAACCTAGCTTTACATGTGTATAACATACTCAGGTTCATTGAAGGCTAGAAATTGATTTGTCAAACATTTGTAAAAATTACTACAGTCAAACCTGCTTTAGTGACCACCTGTCTACAAAGACCACCTGTCTACAAAGACCACATTTTTTGTTTCCCCTTGAAAATGGTTTCTCATTGAAACATGTACTAAAGGAACCTGTCTACAAAGACCACTTTTTGTGTTTCCCTTGGGGGTCGCTATAGACAGGTTTGACTGTATCTAAGACATTTCATTTATTTTATCAATTTACCAAGGAATTACGTAACATTAGAACAATGTTTGTTATTTAAACACATCTTTAACAGCTGGAAACAGCATGAGAGTTGTAGATATAACGTATTTACTCATGTATTTGGGTAACATTTTGCCTAAGTTCCATACATGTTTTTGAACGTGGAGAAATTATGACTCTTATGTTCATGAAATTGTTTGCTCTTTCAATGAACCTAACTTTTTTTTCAAATCGGTGAACATCCCTGAAAATTACCGCCTTTTTTACATAAAATTTCTAACTCTCATGCGAACACAAACTTAATATGAAGTGTTGCCAACGGGCCTAAAACAATGATTTATATAATGCGCATATGAAATAATGTATAATGAAAGAAATATATATATGGTTTTTAAATGGAACATGGTGGAACATAGTCATAACAAAACTTTTATTATAACATAAAATAAGGACTTACTATTAGAACTGACAGAATACATCTATCTACCGTACCTATTCACCAAACCTACAAGTTTTGGGACAAATATCAATGCTGTGTATGATTTATTACACTAGAATGGTGATTTTTCTTTGTTTTATTATTTAGTATTGTTACAAATCTCCCTATCTCCAGTTTTATATCTAGTGAAATACTGCTATCTCATTATAACTTCTATTTGATTGCAGGTCATGGTTATTGACATGTCTGACATTACGGATCCTGGTTTCCACTCTGGGTAGGATAATAGAATGATTTCAGATCTTGGTCTTAGTTTGGGTCTAACACCCTGTAGTGCCGTTGTTTGCATATCTTGGTTTCCAGGGTATCAGAGATAGTGGGTCCTGGTTACAACTCTGGTCTTACATGACAGCGTGATTTCAGTTCCTGTTGTTAGTTATGGTACAACAACCTGGGATATAGATTTGTGGTTTCAACTCTGGTTTAGAGTTCTAAGGTGATCTTAGTTCGGGTCTAAGACACTGGGGTTCCCAAGATGGTGAGTCCTGGTTTCAGCTCTGATCTAGTATGATGGGGTTGTATCAGTTCCTGGTTTTAGTTCTGTGCTAAGACTGGTGTTTCCAAGATTGCGAGTCCTGGTTTTAATTTCTGATCTAATATGTTGGGGTTGTTTCAGTTCCTGGTCTTAGTTCTGGTCTAAGACCCTTGGATGTCTGAGATTGTTGATACGGATAACCTTCAAGCTAGGGCACTTGGTAAGATGCTGGGCACAGTCAACTGACACACATGTATAATCCAGGTTAAGGAGAGTGAGATATGGCAATGACAGCACTGTGATACCTGCATTTGAATGAAAGATAGAACACATTGAAACATAATGTCAGATTTTATTCCAAAATTGTTTACATCCACACGTTATAAAATTTGCTTGTTTTCAACATTTTAGTTTAATCTACTAATTAAATATTATAAGAGATTCATGATATCTTTGTTGAAATAATAAAGTAGGAAACAAATATAATTAGTGCTGCCAATTTGATGAAGAAATTTTATTAATTAATTTATTTCGTTAATTCATTTACCCCTTAAAATGCTAGGTAAAGTATAGATAAGGAGTATTGCTTACCTCTTTCTGAAATGTTTGTTCTACTCAAATTGAGTCGAGATATGTGAGGACAGGAGTTGATCACATTAGATAGAAGAAACCGGTCTGTTATCCTGCGGACAAAAATATGACAGCATGAAAATAGTGATCTACGTCAAATCAAATTTAAATCATTAGCAATAGCAATTTTTAAATAATTTTTTAATGCACTTGCCAATTTTGAGGTAAGTAATCCTGGGACCCGTTTCTCAAAGCCTTTTTTCAATTACAAATTACAAAAATCAGTGACAAATCTGCTGATACCCAATTAGAAGCAAGGATTTCAGTAGCTTATAACAAAAACTGTCATTTGTCACTGATGACAAATTTTGTGAAACTCCCCCCTGTTCAGCCAAAATATAGATAACTAAACATTGAGGCCAATTCAATATGGACCCTTTCCACAGAAACAATCAACAACAAAAAATATAAAACAATATAAAATAAAGATCAAAAGCTTGCAGAGTCATCAATTTGAATCAAATGTATTGATGTGTAAAACTTACTTAGTTTCTGCCATGCTTAGAACTTGGAGCTTAGTCAGCTGACCTATGACCTTTGCCCCTTCATCGTCTACTAAAGTACGATCTAAGTGAAGTTCAAGCAACTCTGTCAGACCTTGATATACAAGAGGAGAGGAAACATGTAATACTAGCATGAGATGGTTTACAAGTAGATTACAAATTAATGAACATGACGGACAAAGAAAGAGGACAAAATACACAGTTCCTCATTCTACCCTCAACAATTGCTGTGGTAGACAAAGGAACATCCCTTCACTGCTATTATGTAAAAATGTGTAAAACAGGTGTCACATGCATATTCACCTGTTCTACACATTTTTACAAAATAGCAGTGAAGGGATGTTCCTTTGTCTACCATCGCAATTGTTGAGGGTAGAATGAGGAACTGTATATTTGTCCTCTTTCTTTGGCCGTCATGTTCATAGTGATTAGTGATGGATGAGTGACATTTCATTCAGCAATATTTGCTCAGAACTTTATTTCATCAAATGCATGGTTAGAAATAGATTTGAAATCTGGCTTTAAGTTAGATTTAGGGTTGGGGTTAGGGTTGGGGTTGAGATTATTGCTTGGTTCAAGGTTGATATTAGGACTGCAGTAAGGGAAGGGACTTGAATACATACATATTGCACATTGTTGCAACTAGCCACTACCCCAGTCTTTCCCAGGTAAATCATGATAAACATATTCAGTAGTTTTCCAGTCTCACAAGATATTGGTGTTCTAAAAATTCCTGAATCGGATTGGATTGGACAGTTGTCATCGTTCATTGAATATAAATAGAATACCGGTATAGAATATAAATGTCAGCGGCCAGATGACAATTCACAACTATTTAGTTGAATAATTGGCAAGACGATTGACAAAGTGGGAATCAACTCTCTTGTGATGATGGCATGAGCAGATTTTTTTTATTCACCATTTTAAAGTTCTGCATGTAAAAGATAGTTGACATTATGTTAAAATAATAGTGACAACAAAAATAGAAGTGAATCATAAAGGCACTGGGCTTACAACAAACCACTGAATTTCAGAATATCTGCATCGATACATGAACTTACCACTCAAGTACTGCATGCCTGCACTGGTTACCTTGGTGTTTGTGATAGAGAGTTTGTGAAGGCTGGTGAGGAAAGATTGAGAAGGTCATCAAAACAAATGAAGCAAACCTCTCATACCATCATCTTCCATCTCTCTTTCATCCCCTCTCTCTCTCCTCCCCCCTCTCTCTCTCTCTCTCTCTCCTTCTCTCCTCCTCCTCCTCTCTCTCTCTCCTCCCCCCTCTCTCTCTCTCTCCTTCTCTCCTCCTCCTCCTCTCTCTCCTCCCCTCTCTCTCCTCTCTCCCCTCCCATCCCACCCTTACATAGACCCCATCTACTTCTATTCTCTTTTATTTCTTACAGATGTATGGGTGCCACTTTGGCTCATACAGTGCCCTGACTAAAGTTTACAGAGATGTTTCTCCCTGTATATAAAAGTTCAGGTTGACTTAGCATCTTTAGGCAGATCTGCAGTGTTATTTTTTCTCAATTCCATTAGATAATTAAAATACTTGTTTGTGTTGAAAAAATGCGCAGCAATAAATGCCACTCCAGCGCATCATAATGTACAAAGAAAGAAAAACTAGATTTTCCCCTTTAAAAAAAAAAGAGCATATCATCTGATGAGAGCCACAAGAGCACCAACTCCTATCATTTTTCACAGAGTTAAAACTTGGTGGTTCTCAATAGAAGATGGTATTTTGAGTATTGTTTGAAAGGATTTCTACCTGGTCATATCAGCAAGATGGTGTATCCCTGCATCAGTGATATTGCTGTAGTCAGTCAGGTCTATTGAACACAGCGACATCCCTGCAAAAAGAAGACAGAACAATTATAGACTTCATTTTAAAAGCAAATGGTAAAAAAGATAAAGCAGGATATGTGAAAAGCATGGTGGAGAGCAAGGATTCCAAGAAAGCGACCAATTACTCTTCTCAAATTATATGGATTCATGATATTGTTAACAAACAAAACTGAAATTTAATTTGATTTTTTCTTTTCTTTATAGGGTTGCAAACAAACTGCTGATAAATCTAGAGAGTAATTACATACCTGTGCTAAAATTAATAGACTTTTTGTTTGTCAAAAGACTTGCTTGTTTGATATGTAAATTTGTATTTGAAAACATTATTAATGCTAAACAAACAAAAAACAAAAAAGTAAGCAATGAGCAATTTCATTTTAATTCTGTCAAGATCATACCAATGATGAAACAACATGTAGCTTCATGACATTACAAGTCATCATCTATCATAAATGGAGCTTACCTGCAATACACTTCAGACCATTATCTGTTGTTGTGTGTCTGTCAGGCAACGACAGCTGCATTAATTGTAACCCTAAAAAGAATGAAAGAAACAGACAGTTTATACATTTCTTTGCCAATATATTTACATTAAAAAATGTTTTCATTCATATTTGCACTACAAATATACAAAACCCAAAATAACTCACAGATGCACTTCTAAATTGATGGATACAGAGTTACCAGTGATTATCATATAAGATTAATATTTGAGTTTTAACTTTCCATTTCATTGTTAAATTTTATGGGTGCAACATTGACAAGGTATTGACCTGTTTCTGCTTACGGAAGAAATGAACAGCTATTTTGAGGTGAAACTCAAAGTCGAGCATCTAAATCCTTAAAGATAAACTTGAGTTCTGCTAAAAAAAGAAAATGAATTCTCACAGAATCAAATGAAACTTACACTGAATGTTCAAGATTACAAATAAATGTCATTTGCCAAACAATTTTGGTAGAAAATGTATACTGGCTGAGTAATGAGCATAGAAAGATAAGGAAATCAAGGTAAGTAGCCACACACCATTTGTGTAGTCCCATATACAGCTATCTGTGTACAGTGCTTGTTACTTTACCAAGACTGGACCAAATTTATTATGGTTTTGATGACTCCAGAACCTTGCAGTACACACCAATACTTATATGCTAGATGATCAACCTTTTCTGATCGATTCCACGTTTCTTTCACAATGCAATCCCATGACCAGAACTGGTCTATACCTTTAGGCAAAACTGTTGCCTATTGGACAAAAGGAGTTGGTAATCACCCCCCCCCCCCCTCCCCTCATTAAAAAATTAAAAGAGCGAGAAGGAAGATTCTTACCTTGAAGACAAGTGAGAGCTTCATCACCAGTGACACCCTCAACATGTGAGATATGAAGAACCTTGAGATGAGTGACCTGATGAAGCTTGAGCAAGGCATCTCTCTGCAGACGATTCCTAGACACGTTCAAGGACACTAACTGACTCAGGTGACCAACATGCTCCAGAGATTTCACCTGATGGATAAGACAGGAACCAGTCGGTAAGATCAAATATGCTCATCCTTAATCAAAAATACTCATCCTTAATTTAAGTGAATTACTAACTGACTCAAATGAACAAAGTGCTCTAGAGATTTCACCTGATGGATAAGACAGGAACCAGTTGGTAAGATCAAAATTACTCATCCTTAATTAAAATTAATTACTAACTGACTCAGGTGACCAGCGTGCTCTAGGGATTTCACCTGATGGATAAGACAGGAATCGATCGGTAAGATCAAATATACTCATCCTTGATTGCTACATTGATGTGAGGATGCCTTTACAACAATAAAGATTCACTGAATTTGTGTTGCACATGCGAGAGGAACACAGTAAAATTCATGACCACATGTTGACACCAATAGAGGTTTTTCTATTTTCTTGAAGGCCTGTTTTTTATTACTTTTAATCATATATTAAAATACTCTTGTAAGACTGTGACATAAAGACATGCCCACAAATATTAAGGATATGAGAATTTTCTGGATGAAAAAAAAAATGCTTTATCAAAATCTTTTGTTTTACTGGAAACCTCATACTGAGTGTTTGTGTGTGTGGTTAAATCTAGTTTATATCTAGCTTGGCCCAAGACCTTAAATCTGATGAGATTGAGACCGGTTGAGACATACCTGTGTCTGCTCAAGGCCTAGGTTCTTCAGCTTTGATAACCCTGTAATAACACAAATATAAAGGTAAAATTACAATTTAAACAAGAAGCAGCTTATAGGTCATACACTCTAATAGAAAAGTGACATTATGAGTTCCAAAATAAAGCACATGGGTACTTTTAAAACCAGCTTATGAATGCAGTGGTAAAATTTCATTCATACTTGAATTTGAAAAGACATTGTTTGAAATACATACAAAAAGTACTAACTACATTCACAACAGATTTCAAAATCCATCCTTTTCATTAGACATTGCTACTACGACTAGGGATATTCTTTCATTTAGACATATAAAGAACAAGAAAGCTCTCACAAAATTGTTAAATCTTTTTAAAACTACTGCCAGCAAATACATCATGTCCAAGCTAATCTACATTATGGCCCAAATTCACAAAGGAGGTTTACATTTAACCCATAGTTTAAACCTTCATTTACATAACCCATGGTTTAAAAATTAGCGCAAAGTAAGTGTACCTTGCCTTGCGCGAGTCTAATATTGGACCTCTTGACTGTGGTGCACTTATTTTGCGCTAATTTTAAACCATGGGTTATGTAAATGAAGGTTTAAACCATGGGTTAAATTTAAACCTCCTTTGTGAATTTGGGCCTATAACTTTATGGTGAATTGACTTAGAGATACCTACTTGCTAAGAAGAGTACTGCCATGTCTGTCACATTGGTCCTATTGAGACTCAGGTTTGTGAGGTTGGGTGGAGGGACAGCTACAAAGGTTTCTAATCCGGCATCCGTCACGCCGGTCCCTTCAAGCAGTAATGTTGTTAAACTTGAAAACTCTGAGAAAGAAAGGCCCAAGAAACAAACAAGGATTATGTTTTCAATTCGACAAAGAGGATTATCATCACTGAATATCATAAATACACTGGGGCTTGTTTAGATATGGCGCAGTAAACTGCCAAAAAAAAGCCATCACGTTTTTTTAAACGTGTAAATGAATAGCAACTGCGGGCAACAAAATACTTGTGGTATTCACTAAGCTCCGTCTTACAGGATACACAAATATGAAGCGTACTACACTTTACGTCATCACAAAAGAACCATCACGGTTTTGCTGTTTCATATCTGAACGAGCCTTTCTTTTTTAATTCTCTTTCAGCAAACAGCTATTTAACTGATATGACTTAAAAGTACTATCTTGGTCGAAGTTGAAGAAATACAATGATAACGCATACCTTGTACAGTTTGGAAGACCTTGTCAGTGAGACTCTTGTTGTTGCTCAGGTTCAGATGTTGTAGTTTCTTCAGACCTACAATGTGACATGACAGACAGACATTGAAGAATGTAAAGTCATTGAGCATCAGGAAATTCTTCACCTTTGATCAGTCCAAGCTATGTCCATGATTTTAAATCAAAGCCAATTGCGTAGTCTTTACGTATATGTACCAGGATCAGAGCGTGAAGTGCATTTAGTACACATGGGTTGTTTGCAACATGGGCAGTTTGGGGCCCCGTATCACCGTCCTGCATGCATCGTTTGAATACATAGGTGCATATAACACATAAGACACAAAGCCCATGATCGGAAATTAAGAAAAACGTCAATGAAAACTAGATGGAACTTTGACTGCGCGCCAGGTCAAAAATGATGCCTCCGCCATAGAGCAATTTTACAAACCAAAACAGAAACAATTTTTAAATTCAAGTTTGATTGTAATCCATCTGTGGGTTTTAATGATAATGCATGCACAAGCTATTTTTGGCATACATAATGAGCCATGTGACCTTTGACCTTCGACCTGGTGACCCCAAAATCTAATCAGTTCATTGGCTCTGCAAGATACATACATGACTTGAGTTTGATAGTAATCTGTCTATTTGATCTCATGATAATGCGATCACAAGCTATTGTTGGATACATAAAGACCCCTGTGACCTTTGACCTGGTGACCCCAAAATCGAATCATTTCATTGGCTCTGCAAGATACATACATGACCTGAGTTTGGCAGGAATCCATCAATCGGTTCTTGAGATAATGCGATCACAAGCTATTTTGCATACATAATGAGCCCTGTGACCTTTGACCTTCGACCTTGTGACCCCAAAATCTAATCAGTTCATTGGCTCTGCAAGATACATCCATGACTTAAGTTTGGCAGGAATCCATCAATCAGTTCTTGAGATAACGCGATCACGAGCCATTTTCGCATACATTATGAGCCCTGTGACCTTTGACCTTGGATCTCGTGACCCCAAAATCTAATCAGTTCATTGGCTCTGTGAGATACATACATGACTCAAGTTTGGCAGGAATCCATAAATCGGTTCTTGAGATAACGCGATCACGAGCCATTTTCGCATAAATAATGAGCCCTGTGACCTTTGACCTTGGATCTCGTGACCCCAAAATCTAATCAGTTCATTGGCTCTGTGAGATACATACATGACCCAAGTTTGGCGGGAATCAACCAATCGGTTCTTGAGATAACGCGATCACGAGAACGGGACGTACGGACAGACGTACGGACGTATGGACGGACGTACGGACGGACGGACAACCCAAAAACATAATGCCTCCGGCTACTTTGTAGCGGAGGCATAAAAAAAAAAAACAGAACAGTTGGCATCTCTGAAAGTGACATGCATAATAAATCTTAAGACAATGGATTTGCACAGGCATATAAAGATACAAACACAATGAACATTATTCTCAAAAGCCACTTAATTATAGTCAACTTTAGTTTAAATGTTTGGCCTTCCACAAACAAGTGGACTATTCAAGCCCATTTGAACATAGTCCACTGTGATTAATACGAGCCGATACCTCCATCCTGATTGAGACACCTACTTGTAATCTGTAGCAGCCCCTGATCTGTGATGAGCGGACACGACGCCAGATTGAGAGATGAGAGATGGATATGAGGGCGCACCGTCTGAAGAAGCTCATTGGTGGTGTACTTGTAGCAGTCCAAGGCTAGACGTTGCAAGTGGCTGTAGGGAGCAAACCAAAGCAAAATGGAAGGATAAAAGTGAAGGGAATGGCGTCATCAACTTGCTAATTTGCATACGGCCTATGTGATACACATCACTAGTTCATGAAATTGTGCAAAAAGTTCACTGTTTTATTTGTTTAATATTTCTCCATTTATTCAATTCAACTTGCAAATGTGCCGGACTTGTCCTTTAAGAATGGGGTTAGGCACAATGTCGGGGCCGGGGTCAAAATTTAGAATTTGACTAAGATAGGAAATTGCATACACAGCAAAGACACCCAATACCTAGCTACTTTACCTTTGATATAATCATAACTTACCAAGGAATAAACATCATCAATGTCTTTGGTCTGAGATGTCCTGACTTCTTGAGTTCAGTCAACAGCCTCTCTGCCACTGTGGGTGGCACTGCTTCCAGTCTGCTGAGTCCTCCCGGGTGGCCTTCCAAACGCTTAGAGGTACACTTGACGCACATGTCTAGCAGGGTAGGGATGGGTCTCTCTGTGGGTGGGGAGGTCTGGCTGAGTGGGGTCGGGGCAACGTTGACAAGCCTCTGTAATGCTGCAGCAGCTGTATCATGGATACAAACAAGGAACTAGATGATAGATCTAAATGTCATCTCGAGTTGTGGTCATGATGGAAATAAAATTGCAGAGATTTAAATCAAACTTACATAAACGATAAATGCCATGCAATTTAGTTGCATACCATATCTATATATATATATAAGAGGTTCATATTGACTTTAAAAAGTCAAAGGGCCACTCTAACCCAATTAACATAGCATTTTAACACATGAATACACCTCTACTTATTAATATTCCAGCCCCTGATTTTTTCAGAAAATCTCTAAATTGACCAAAAAATGGTAATAACCATCCATTTTTCACGCTTGCTAGGCTACGCCCCTTGAAAAAAGGTAATACGGTCACGTGGCTTGATGAAGCATTTGAGGTCATTGCGGGCATGTCCTATTTGATAATTTGATAATTTGACAAAATTGCCAGAAACGTACTGGGTTTATCAAGTGCATATTATTTTTTGTATAAATGTCTTTTTTTTCTTCAATTAATATCATAGTTTGCCTTTTTAAAGACATTTTAATGCCTTAATAACCGAGAAGTCTCCTGCAGTGATGTCATATGCTATTGCACAATAAAGCTCAGAAACTGGGCTTTTTTCTGAGCGTTTTGAGTCATCATTTTTAAAGCTAGATTCCAGAATTATTGATGATTTCTAAGAAAAATCATTGTCATGTTCAGAATCTCTGTCAAAAATTGTTCAACATGTCTGTTTTTGATTTTTTAGCCCGTTTTGGTTAGAGTGGACCTTTAAGCTAGTCTTCCAGATCAAGTGTTAGGCTTCAGAATATGTTGTTTCAGTAAATGTGATTTCCAGCAGGTGTGCGTATAGTTTACTTGCCCAAAACAACCTAATAACTGCATTGTATACAGTTCAAAAATTAGTTTTGGTCAAACCAAGACTGAAGATTTAAACTGAGAGATAGCAGGAAGCTTCCAACATCAAGCACAAAAAGAAAAGTAAAAAGAACAGTAAAAGAACAATTTACTCAGTTCTGGAACTGCATAATCTGTATTCAAAGGTTTTATACATAATTTAAACTGCCTCTGCCTCTACTACTAATACAGTGCTGTACTACTTTGACTATTACTACAGTGAAACCTGTCTATAAAGACCACTCAAGGGAGATAGGAAAAGTGGTCTGCATAGGCAGGCAGTCTTTGTGTACAGGTTTCTGCAATACATGTATCCATGGCAAAGTCTATTCGAGGGTAAAAGAAAAGAGGTTTTTGAAGACAAAGGTCTTTCTACACAGGTGGTTGCTAAAGCAGGTTTCACTGTATTACATAAAATGTTGAGAATATTACCAATACGACCAGGACTTGGAGCTGCTTCCCCTCCTTCTCCCTCTTGCTCCCCTTGAGCATGGGCAAATCCGTAATCGAATCTCCCCGGTCCGTCAATGTTCAGACGACGCCCTTCTCCCCATGCATGTTGACCAAATCCTATCAGAGAAGAATTTGTATGGTATTATTCATAATAAAGCGGGCACACATATTTAGATGTACTGCATGTACTCTAACATGCAGTACTATTGCAGTGACTGATCTGGTTACATGTATAGTATACTGCATCAGATACATTAATCATAACTTAGATTACTGACCAAGCTGTTCAGAGAGTCAATGGCTTTATCTTCCCAATGTTTAGCACCAAACATCTCAAGCCCCTTTTAATTCATTATTTTTTGACGATTGATTTCCTGTTCATATGCTCTAAACAAAAAAGATATTGGTCATTTAAAAAACATATGACATTATTTTCTGAGTATTCATACCAGGGATTCTTCCTCTAGATCCTCATGCAATGTCAAACATCTTTTCTCGCATGACACAATGTTGCCTGAGGCTGAGACATGGTTTGAAAAAGAATATTGTCAACTATAAAAGTACCTTCATTCACAAAAAAACACAGAGATTTTCACAGCAAGAAACTTTAACGAATCATACAAATCTGGTGTTGTGTCAATTGTAATTTGATTATAATGTGGCATAAAGCTTTTAAAAATGCTAACCACTTGCAAACTTTACAAGCATTTCATGGGCACATTTCTAGTTATAAAGTAAACAACAAAATAAATACCATAAACATGACTGCAGATATAAGATTTATACACATTTTTAATTTGTTTTCACTCCAGAATATAAACAGAGTTACTTGCTTGCTCATAATTATCTGAGGACCAATTTGGACATATTTCAGAGACTTATCAATGCTTTATGCACAACAATTGATACAAAATGCATGAAATGGAAGACACACATAGAGTTACTAACCTGGTCCTCCTGGTCTACCACCACCACCTCCCATCATACCAGCCATGTACTGCAACTCAGGAGGAACTGCCTGTCCCCACATGTCAACATCGCCCCCATCATCATCACCCATCTCATCCTCCTCTCCCTCATCCTCCTGCAGACCGCGTCCTAGCCCGGCCTCATCCACGGCCATCCTCTCTTCTCCATCACTTACATCAAAGAGTCTTTCTCCTCTGATTTCTTCCATCTCTGCATCATCCATAGCAACCACTCCTCCTCCTGCTCTCTCCATCCCACCCTCTTCTTCACTGGCCTCTCCCTCTACCTGCTCCTCCCCCATGGTATGACCCCGCCCCCATCGGTGCACCGGTGTCTGCATAGGCTCAGCAAAGTGGTTTGGCATGGGTTCAATCCTCCTAGGTAATCTTCCGGAGGATGGTTGGCCAGTATTGAGATCTTCAGGCAAACCTGGTGCTTGAGCTGTAACAATGAGAAAGAAGCAACAACTTACTGTAATGCTTCTTTTGATCAAATATTTAATTTACAATTAAGAACATCAAGCCTTTAGTAGTCAACACATATTTTGTATCATTAATTTCATAACAAAATCACATTATTGCAAGCAGGCTAAAAAAAAAAAAAATATATATATATATATATATATAAATAAATGTAGCAATTAGATGCTAGATATAAAGCCAAGGTCATTATGCATATTTTCCCTTGACAGCACCCCATCCCTCCTGTTCAATTCTCAGAGTGGGACCAAATATTATGATAGAGTGTTAAATGGCTTAAAAAGACTCAAACATGTTTATAACCCGTTTATAATAACTAAAGGTACCAACAACAGTCCTTTACATTTAAATACCAATCAGTGCAAGTGTAATCATAAAGATAGGCTATTAGGTTCTTCATGAAAAATGCCATCTTATGTATAATATAATGATTATAAAGATATATCATATACTGAGAGCCGGAAGGATCTTAAAGATATGTGTTTTATGCCATTCTGCCTCTAAGCATAGGATACAAAGAGCACAAAGTTACCTTGTGAGGGACTACCTGCTCTGACAACCAGACTTCCGCTTGGTGTAAGGCTTAAATCATAAAGAGATTTGGTGAGCTCCTCAGCAGTATATACCTTCCTTGGAAATGGCTGAATGAAGAGAGAAAAAGTATAAAAATGTGAAAAATGTTTCAAAAGCCCAAATTCAACTTACAATATTTACAAACTTTATTGATATTATTGCGGGAATCTCAAGTTTGTGGGAAGGCTCATTTGGAACAGGATAATCATGAACAGACAAGGAAATTAAAACTTCATAAAAAAACAATCATATTTTCTTCAGTTAGCATACACTACCCACAATAAATATATTTATATAGTGCATGCTGCAATCATAATTATAAATCTTTAGGTCAGTCAGGAATCCCATGACTTTACAAGCTGATCGCCTGTCTGATTATCAAGATATTTATGATTGGAATTTGAAATTTCCAACGGTTTTTATAACACCACAGTCTATTGGGCAAAATGAGTACCGGTATGGTAAAACCGGCCACTCAAAGATTTTTTATGTATTGAAACACTGCACAATCATTTTGAAGTGCAATATGTTTAGGGCTACAATATTACACCATATCATTCATACATTCATAACACTTAGGGCCAAGCATCTCAGATTTGTAAAACTGTAAACATTGTTAAACAATGAGAGATCGGATAAAAATTTCTGATCGTCGATCAATAAAAATGATTGGAAAAAAATTGGCAGAATTTTTTTTCTTCTTTTTTTTTAATGCCAAAAATGTTCAAGTTTATGGCTATCAAATACATAATCCAAGATGGCGGCCCGCATGTTTTGCCTCTTCTCTTAGACCAATATTATTAATTTCATAGTCATGAAAGGCACTAAATATCTACAAACATGGTCTACAACAACTCCAAATGAGAAAATAATGCAAGCTTGGAATTTTTTTATTAGCATTTGATAGCCCAAGACTTGAAATTTTTTGGGATAAAAAATATATTAAAAAAAAAAAAATTAAAAAAATCAGCAGACTTTTTTTTGCCGATACCGATCACAGGTGCGAGGGTGTCGTTCCGATCAAAGCCCCAACTTACAGGATTACTTTAAAATAGAAATTGAAAAAATATTAATCTAAGAAAAGCCTTAATCCTGTTCTGTTGTGCACTTGAAATCATTCTTCAACCTGTTGAAATCTAATTTCAAGATAATTCAGATAACTACAAGACTGTAATCTATTAAAAATATGGAAATTGTCTCTAATCAGCTCATTCCTTTTACATAAAAAATCCTTAAAGCGAAATATTCACACTGTCCGTACCTGCATTAGCTCTACATTGTCACCCAGAGATGGCTGAAGCTCTTTGATCTTGCTGATGACTTCACTCAACAAAGAACTGGAGGAGAATGTCTCCCTCATGTGCTGACCAGATGGAAGACGTATCTGTGAAGAGAAATGGAATCAAGATTCACTTTCTCATAATATCGCTACTTAGACATGCAATATTTTGCATACCTCGTCTAATCTGACTACACCATTATATTGCACAGATTGGGAAGTATTTCAAAAGTTGATGTGAGTCCATTTCTAGAACATAATAATAATTTTAATGGATATCATCTCAATAGTTTGTATATAAGGTATAATATATATATGTTTGAATCATAGTTATCATCCTGTGTCTGATTAAGCTTGTTAACAAGCATTTACTTGCTTTCTTAGCACTCACTTAAAAGGAATATTCCATTATCCTATATTTGATCATGTAGATCTACAGCTCAAGACAATAAAATCAAGTCGTATAAAAATCACCACCAAAATCATTATCATCATCATCATCATTGCCACAGACATATGAAGCATGATATTGTGGAGAAAGAAAGACAATCTGCCAGTGGTACCTGTAGAGTGCAGTTCACTGGGGGTTCAGGAGCAAGGCTTTTTGTCTCTTTAGCTGTGTCCTTTCCTTCTTTACTCCCAGAAGGCACATCTAGAGAACGGTCTGACTGCGGTGAAATCTCAGGACTCATTGAGACCGTTGCTGGTGTGTCTTTGAGCTCTGATGATATCACAGAACCTGATCCTGAAGCAGTTGGGCTAGTTGGTGATGGGTGCGATGGTGTCTTGAGTTGTTTGGCTTTGCGGTCGTCTTCAATCCCTTTTAAAACTATGTCATGAGCCTGAATTTAATGAAAACACTTTTTTTTAAAGTGGATCTTTAGTCGAACATACAAGTCATAAACAAGACATTCATAATCTGTTGGACTTCTTTTTTTTCCCTTGCTGTCTGTATTAAAAGAAATGTTTCCAGTTTATCATTAAGGGTAGGTAGCTTCTGATAATCCTTTCTCCCTACTTCAAATAATGATGACCAAGAAATGAAAATGATAGCATCAAATGTAATATTCAAAGTTTAACCGCACTTACATAAAATCCAAATTCAAAGGTCTTTAAATTTTGTAAGCCTTTTACAATGCACCCTTTCTGTTGTGAATTTGTGATATGAGTTAGATATGCATTGTGAGTTCCAACTACTTATTAACCGAGTGTGGTCTGTTTATAGAACTATTTGGTGAGGAGGTGAGTTTGTTAATATGAGATTGTATGACCATATCAAACATAGAATCCGTATGGGTATCATATCGAGTACAGAGAAATTAAAGCACAATGTAAGCTAGAAATGTCTCTACTATCATATCCTTTAAAAAACCCACCTTCTTCTTCCGCATTCTCTCATCCTTGTATTTTGCAGAAAGTTGCTCCCTCTGTTCCCGCTCCCAGCGGTACTTGTCTTCTCTCTTCTTGTCTGTCAGGGAGAATCTACTTACAACATTTTCTGACTCACTACTCCCAGGAGGAGTCTGCTCAACAGATGGAACAGCAGGACCAGAAGGGGAGGGGACAGTTGGCACAGATGTTGGCGGCATACTGAAAGGGAGATAATTCTGGTCTTGGGAGCTAACGCTTGATGATTGTTGTGCCTACACATTAAAAAGAGGATGTATAAAAATCTGTGGCTTAAATTAAGTATTGGCAGAAGAAGAAGAAAATTAGTCCAAAATTATGTTGGATACCGTATTTGCCGGCGTAAAGGCCGCAGTATTTTTGGAAGAGAAAATATCAAAAAGTCGGGGTGCAGCCTTTACGGCGAAAGAGTAAAAAAAAAAAAAAAAAACTCAAGTAAAAACCAGCACGAATTTGCACATATGGGACTACGAACATGAATACGAAAATAAATAGCTAAACCAACATTTGCCGATAGATCTTGATCTAAGTTCGTGCCAATGCATTGCAAAAGTAAAGGAAGGGACCATTTAACCGAGCTGCCGCGAAGCATCCATCCCGAAGTCGCCATTTTGTTTTCCATTTCATGCAGTTTCGCATTACACCGTACATTGTGGTAGGGGTATATATCGGAAACCAAATCTGCCCGCGATCACTTTTTGAGCTAATCTTCCGGTAAATTATAAGAATATTGATGAATTTGGTATCAGTTTGTAAAAAAAAAATAGTGTTTTACGAGAAAATTATGATTATTTTTATGATTAGTTGGGGTGCGGCCTATGAGGCGGTGCGGCCTTATCGCCGGCAAATACGGTATTACATTTCTTGACTCTAAATGAACATTTAGAACAATTTAACAACTTTTAAGTCATGTGATTGTTACTGAATTGACTGCAACTTTTGATATTTCGCCTTAGATTTGAATAAACTCATTCAATACTCTGATTATGAACAAACATTATACAAGCATCTAAGCTATGTTTCAGGAATTAAAAGCATGTACTAACTCCTACAATTATACTCCTTTCCAGGTCAGAACATCCTTACCGGTACTTGTGATGATGGTCGAAGGGAGAGCGTAGTTGTTGGTCTCGTTGAAATTTCTTGAGTTCTGTCTCCACCTTGCAATAACCTGAGAGAAGAAAATCATATACAAGAATGTTCATAGCAGGATGAATTTTGAGGTAGTTGGCTCAAAGCCATGTGGTAGACCTTACAAAAAAAATGGAGACACATTAAGGAGAAAGGAGACACATCTTGCCTTACCCAGCCAGGTAGATGCTGAAAACCAGAAGGCTTGGAGAAGGGCCATAAGGGAAATGAAACATCCAACCCCACTGCTTGGCAAAACCAGACGCTAAATGATGACGATGATGTACTCTTCCATGCCACTCATACACGTACATGTTCACGGTTAAAGAGAGGTCATATTTTTGCCAAAGGAGAGGCAAGAAAGCTGTCTGCAACTGGAAATATGAGGTTATCCATTTTATCATTTTATGCACAAATAAGCTTCTTGAATCTCTCATACCGTCATCAATATAAAGAAGCTGTAAATACAATTACTATTCAACTGCTTTTGAATCAAGTTAGAATTCATTGTGGCAAGTAGGGTCTACACATTAACAGCATAATTATAGAGAAGATATACACCCATGTCATTCAATACACAAGTGGAAGAATGACTGAATTCCATTAGAGCAGTTTCTTAGTTTTTAAGAACAACTTAAAAATGTATAAGTTTGGGTCTTTGTTTAAATGCATACCGGGTTTTGTTCAATAGGAAGCCTACTAAAAAAAAAAGGAGGATTTTGTTCTCCTTCATACTCAAGGTAAGGGGGCATGGTCTGCTAACAAAACTTGCTGGGTCTATTCTCTTTGGCTACAAATGCTGGGGGTTGGGCCCTTCTTCAATGCATGTTGTCTCTGTGGAGCCAGAAGGGCATTAGCTCATATACTTTAACACAAAGATAATGCTCTTCTGGCTCCAAACAAACAATATTCACTTCCACACATTCTTACCATTCTACAGCTTCATGTACAGTAAGTTTTCCTGCCTGTATCGCTGCTTGACCACGGTCCAAGTCAAATCCCATACTAGCCAAGGTGACTAGTAAGGAGTCCACGGTCTGCATTTGATCAAAATGACAAACTATAGGTAAATGCTTCAATATCAAATTATCATTTGTTATCTGAATTAAATTAAATTGATTTGCTGAAGTAGACGATTCTCAAACGCCTGGACGAGCACCCCATTGTCGGTATTGTATGCGATTGGATTGTGCAGTGGTTTGCCGTGCAACCTGTGTGAAAATGTAATAAAATGTCCTTGTTTTTAGGTAAAATACTCCCAAGAAAAGGGAAAATCGATGTGAAACAGGTAGGAAAGATAACAACCTTTAAATCATGACCATTATTTGAACAATTGTTGAAGATTTAGTTGATTTTTATTAAGTTAAAGTGTGATATCTCCACGCCCGAGTCACGAGTCAAAGTCTGGATACAATTCTAAACTAGCATCCAATAGTTACCAGCACCCCATCGTCGGTATGGTATACGATTGTATTGTGCAGCAATTTGCTGTGAATCCCGTGAGAAAGTGTATATAATAAGTCTTTGTTTTTAGAAAAAATACTCCAAAAAAAGTAAGAAAATTGACAAGAAACAGGTAGAAAAGTAAGGAAACATAACGACTTTAAAATCAGTACCATTATTTGAACAATTGATGAGGGTTTAGTCGATTTTCGGTATGTTTTAGTAGGGTATCTCCAAGCAGGAGTTCGGGGTCAAAGTCTGGATAGACTTCTGAACAAAGTCAATAGGAAGCGCTCGCGCGCGCCGTGATCTACAGCACAAGCGGGCGGAGCAGGTATCCCACGCCGGAGCTCCCGGGTGCTCGCCTGGCCGAAGACAGGCACAGCGGTGATCGGAAGTTGGAATCTGAATTAGACAGACATATCGTGTGTGCGTGGCAGGGTCCGGCTGCATTGATTTAATACATGCGATGAGATACTTTTGAGCTTGCAACTAACACAAAATCGGGCTCTAAATCTGAAAAATACTTGAAATAAAGCTGATTTTATGGTACCCATATTTCTTACATACACGCGAAGAAACTAGATTTTTCAGATTTGGGTAGTGGGACCGCCGATTACATCGCTAAAATGTGATATTTTAGGATATATTTTCCATTGCAAATGTGGTTCTTCAGTGACTCTGACATGGTATGGTATGTGTGGGATATGTGTTGTGCTATTATGCGATGTATTTTAAAGGGATTTTACCATGCATCCAATGGATCGGCCGAAAACTGGAGCTGTCTGATTACCGGCTCCTTTACTCTAATTACGATTACAACTAACATAAAATTCATCAAAGCCACTGTCCAATATTGGTCGGGTGCGGGAAAGTGTGATTTTGGACACATTTGAGATGTTGTTTACCTACCTCTCCATGCAGTGGTATGGGAGGCGGTTAAGGCTCCCTTGAATAGGCTAGTCACACTCACAGAACAAAAATCATTCAGTCACAGCACAAAAGTCAGTACATGGGACAAGTAGTAAATTAAAGTGGCCAAACACTTATTGATAAAAATCGAAATATCGACATTTTTACTTCCTTAAAATTTACTCTTGTTGTTATAGACTCATCACAAAATCATACTTGTACTAAATCATACGTACCAAATCACTTGGAGAACTCATAATTCGCCACTCTTAGTTAGAATCATTTAGGAATTATTCGTTTTCTGGCAGCCTCACGTCACTATGCTAGCTTCGATTAAGCAAATGCAAAAAGAGGGGAAAATAATTCTTTCTTCTTCCTCTTCTGTTTGTTGTTGTTGTTGTTAATAGGTCCTGTTATATTTGTTGTCTTCTTCTTTTTCTTCTTCTTTTTTATTCTTCTTTATCTTCTTCTTCTGTTTCTCCTTCTTCTTCTTCTCCTTCCCCCTCCAACATCTTTTAATTTAATTGACATATTTTCCTATCCCTTTGGCCCCTTTGGCCTTTCACATCAACGAAAATGATTAACTGGCCGAATTGGGGAAAAACTTATAATTTTTTTTAAATATCGGGCTTTCCCACCAAAAAATGAATTAATTGTAAAATGTGGATTGAGTATTTTATCAAGTCATCATACTATTCATACTTTATTTAATTTTTGGGGTGTATTTTTGGTCTTGGTTGGGTAATCCCTTTGGCAGCTCACTCAGGAAGCTATACTGGGATGGTAGGTGAGGCAAGTGACTACAAGGAGTGTCATGAATTGCTGGAATGGTGTGTGGACAAAGCACTTGTCAATTTACAGTAAAATATGCTAAGTCCAGTGCAAGTAAAAACCAAGCTAGTAAGCTTATATGATGTGAGAACCAACGGGGGGCTGCATCATTCTGATGGATGGTAGAGCAGCCTCCTTGAAGTTGGTTATTCCTGTTGCATTGACTGCTGAGCCTGGCAGATGGTTCCAGATCCTTATTGCTCTTGGGTAGTATGAGAACTTGAAGGAGTCGATAGTTGCAACAGGAATTACATACTTCAGGTTGTGGTCATGTCTTCCGAAGTATGTAGCAGGGATAACAATAGTTGGTGCAGGTATGGGGACAAGTCGGTGATGGATCTTGTAGAGAAGGGTGCATTGGTCGAGGATTCGACGTGTGTGAAGCGTGTCCCACCCTAGAGCTGCCACAAGAGCTGATGGTGATGTGGTGTATCTGTAGTCACGGTACACAAAGCGAGCCGCTGTTCTTTGTACTTGCTCTAGCATTTTTGTGACCGTGACGCTGTGTGGGTTCCAAGCCTCCGAGGCATACTCCAATTGGGGGCGCACTAAGGCTGTGTAGGCCCTGGACTTTACATCCCTGGTACAGGGTGAGAGAGTCCTGCGAAGAAGACCTAGAGTACGGCTTGCTTTATGCCGAATGGTTTGGCAGTGCTTGTTCCAACGGAGATCAGCAGCAACCGTTACTCCAAGGTACTTGTACTCTTTCACTCTCGGAATCAGTCCATTTGACAGGTGGTATTCTCGGATGCTGGGAGTACGCTTCCGTGTGATGGTGAGGATAGCGCACTTTTTCACGTTGAAGTCCATCATCCAGTTTGAAGACCACCTGGACAGCTGTTGGAGATCGTCCTTTAGGATTTGATGGTCCTCAGGGCATCGAATCTCACGATAGAGGGTGCTGTCATCTGCGAAGAGACGCATTGTGGACTGGATGTTGTCTTGGATATCGTTGATATACAACAGGAAGAGGGTAGGGCCGATGACGGATCCCTGGGGGACTCCAGATGTTACATCCCTCCATGTTGATTTGGATCCATCAACTACGACTGCCTGTTGTCTATCAGTGAGGAGAGACATTATCCACTGGAGTGAGTCACCACTTATTCCATAGTACTGAAGTTTGGTTGACAGGAGAAGGTGTGGTACTCGATCAAATGCCTTCTTGAAGTCCAAGAAGATTATATCAGCTTGGCTACGCTGCTGTAGGATGGAGGACCAGTCGTGGACGGCTGTTGTCAATTGAGTGGTTGTTGACAACCCTCGTCGGAAGCCATGCTGTGCATCAGTGAGGATATTATTCACTGCAACATGCTTCGACACATGGCTCAGGATGATATGTTCCATGACTTTGCAGCAAACGCAGGTAAGTGAGATCGGTCTGTAGTTGGAGGGGTCACACTTTTCTCCCGACTTGTGAATAGGGGTAACCAGTGCCTGTTTCCATTGGGCTGGAACGATGCCACTGTTGTAGCTTTGTTGAAACAGGAAGGACAGTGGAGAAGCAATCTCGCGAGCTACCAACTTTAGGAGCTTGGGTGGGAGTTCATCAGGTCCGCTGGCCTTTGAAGGGTCCAGTTGTTGGAGGCGTTTCTCGACACCAGTCCTGTGAACATGCAGGTGACCAATAGTTGGGAAAGGAGAAGGTCCTTTCTGTACAAGAGGTTGGAGCTGGTGAGGAGTAAAGACAGACTGGAAGTAGTCGTTCAGTGTCTCTGCCTTGTCTAATGCTGAGGCGCATAGTTTAGATGGAGTACGCAAGGTAGGAATACCAATGTTTTCAGAACGACATGTCTTGATGTAAGACCAGAAAGACTTTGGGTTGTCCTTAAGGCTTGCCCCGATGATGTTGTTGACGTACTCACAACGTGCTCTGTGCACATTCTTGGCAACTTGGTTCCTGAATTGTCGGTAGGCTGTCCAAGCTGTGGAGCAAGACTGGCTGTGTGCCTTCTTGAATAGGCTATCTCTCTTCCTCATCTGGCGTTTCAAAGGAGGAGTAATCCAAGGAAGATGTTTCCTTCCTTTGCTCATTTTGGAAGGAATAAGCTCAGACAAACACCTGTTCAAGAAGTTGACAATGATGGACCAGTTTGTCTCCACTGATCTTCTTTCTGGATCTGATTGGAGGAATTCCGTCGCAAATTCGGCTGCTGCATCTCTCAGTTGCTGTTCGTCAGCTTTGTGGAACTGGTAGATCTTCCTCAGGGGCTTGACAGAGATCTTTGGATTTGCAGCAAGAGTAAAAGTGACGATGTTGTGGTCTGATATCCCAGACTTTACGCACACATTCTCAACCAGGGCGGGATTCGACGTCACAACTAGATCCAGGATGTTGTTGGATGAAGGTCGGGTGACTTCCCTGACTGTTTCGTTTCTTTCCAGTCTTTCTAGCTTTAGCTTAGTAGGTTCGTTTTATTCATTTCCTGTAATTAAATCATTTTGCATTACAATGACTAAAAAACAATGTGAAAGATATTACAATGCTCATTTCTGTTATATCATTACGTTTATTATGTGAAAAGAAAATGAAAAATAAATTCGCTCTGTATATTATAGAGCTACTACTTTTTTCAAAGGGCCTAAAATCTGGAACAGTTTGCCAGTCCATCACTTTAAAAAGAGATATAAAACCTTATTATTCAGTAGATATATTAGCAATGTTTGATCAGGTTTCTTTTACTTTTTTATTTTTTTAAAAATTGTTTCGTCGTTTTTTTGTGTTTTTGTTTGGTTTGCTGTCAATGTAAGAAACAGAAACCGATCTGTTTTTTTTTTTTATTTTATTAATCTTTTGGATATATATGCTTGTACAATGTACTTATTCTATCTTCAATCTGGGCTTGTACTCATACTCTCTTCTTATCCTAATTTCAAATTTTTCAGTTTTCTATAGGTGGCAGCACCAATAAGGCATTTCCTTTCTAGCTGCCTCCTCATTCACATAAATACTCACTTTTTCTATGTTTTTGTCCAGATCACCTTATATTGTATTATTATCTTATGTAATGTTTTGTTTATTTTGACTATATATCTTGTGATTTTGTATGTTATTGTATCTAAATGTTTTTTATGACGAATGGAATAAATTTGATTATCTTTTCTATGCTACTAGGCTCTCTCTGACTCTCACCCCCGTCTCTCTCTCTCTCTCTCTCTCTCTCTCTCTCTCTCTCATATTCGGAATGAAAATGTATTGCATGATGTTTGATATGATGGATAAAAGAGTATTGCTGTCCTCCATGTACTTTGTATAATACGTTAACTTTGTTCATACGTTCTATTATAAGTTCATTTCTTGTGAGATTAAAAAAAGGGTAGAACATTTATTCATCATTGAGAGATAAACCAAAACAATATATTATATTATATTATGTTTTATATATATATATATATATATATATATATATATATATTCTTTTTTTTCTTAACGCTCTAGCAGATTACTGAACCCAATAATTTAGATTAGGTCAGATGAGCATCCAGGGGCTCGCCTTAGGGTGATGGTTGGGTTCAGGGGGCAGAGCCCCGGAAGCTCCCGGCTTTAGGCATTTAATTACGTCAGATGAGCATATTATTATACCTTTTGACGCCAGCAGGGGCGTCGTTAGACCTTTTTCAGTGGGGGGGGGGGGGTGTAGAGGCCAACGATTACCGACAAAACTAGCCACCAATTACCGACAAAATTAAATGTCCAATATCTACAAATTCAACCCTATAAAATTAATCTGGGGCCGCCCGGAAGGCTAAATTGTTTTTCCTATGGACTATCTATGGTACTTGCATTATGCGCAAAATGTATAATTTCCTCGACGACGTAAATAAACGAATTATTTCTTCAATTTTGTCAGCATCATAGCTATATATTTTAATGCAGGCGCGGAGCTAGGATCTTATTTTGGGAGGGGCGGTAGTGAGCAAGAGAATCACTTAAAAGCGCGCTCATTAGGGGGGTTTGGGTGATGGGCCTGCCCGCGAAGCGCGGAAGCTTAGACGTTTCCTTAAATTATTAGGAAAAGAAGACGATTAATTGTACCGTTTTCGACTGGTAATCCTTGGCTGAATAAAGTTCCCCCCCCCCTCCCGCGCGAAAGCTTTGACGTTTCATTAAATTATTATAAAAAAGAAGACGATTTGCTGTACCGTCCTCGACTGTTTATCCTTTTCTGAATTCAGTTCCCCTCCCCCCTCCCGCGCAAAGCGCGGAAGCTTTGACGTTTCATTAAATTATGAGAAAAAGCAGACGATTCGGTGTACTGTTCTCGACTCTTAATTCTTGTCTGAATTTAGTTTCTCCCCCTCCCACGCGAAGCGCGGAAGCTTTGACGTTTCATTAAATTATGAGAAAAAGCAGACGTTTCGGTGTATTGTTCTCGACTCTTAATCCTTATCTGAATGAAGCTTCCCACTCCCGCGCGAAGCGCGGAAGTTTTGACGTTTTATTAAATTATTAGAGAAAGACGACGATTCGTCGTACTGTTTTCGACTCTTAATAAGCC